TAGGCGAAATTATCATCTCGATTTGCTTTGCCTTTTTCGCGCTCGTATTGTCGTGCTGTCGTGTTCCAGTGCTGCCCATGGTTTGGATTGTTGGCTTCGCAAACCATCGCAATTTGCCCGAATCTCCAGAATCGAATAAACCGATACGTCGTCTGAACATTTGCTCCCCGTATTTCCCACTTTCAAGCTCGGATGCGTGTATTTTTGGTCCCGCGGTTTTGATCCCACGCGTTGTGTGCTGGTTGAATTTCATATAAACAATGTGTCAATATGCCTTGGTATGGCCCTCTCATACACTTAGGGACCAACTTGAGCGTACAGATCGGTTTGTCGATGCTTTCGATGTGGTGCCATCCGTCTGGTAACCGAGCAACCCTTGCAACTTGATGCTTTGGTGGCTGTAAATTTTGAGAGTTCCCGTATTACAGGCCTGTCCATTTAGGCCTCCATCCGGCTGCGGCTGCACTGGCGTATGTGATTGCTGCGCATGATAAGAAATACCGTAATGCAAGTGTTTTGTAAAGCCCCACCGCAACATACACTGTTTCCAATGTCCGCGCATCTGCTGAGATCGAGGCAAAATGGTCCATAAACCCATCGTGCAATGGCCTATTGAAATAACCGCGTGCCGCATGAACCCTATGGTCAGAGCTATGTATATCTAACCATGTCAACCCGTTTCATCAACAATGCAAATTTGCCGCATGTTGAGGCGAATAGTTTAGAGGGCACCCCGTGCGGCCCCTACCGGGACCAAAATATGGAAGGCAAGATGGTTTTCACAAAAATGTTCGATCATGTGTTCCAGCCATTCGAGTGTGCAGGAAACTGCCCGAAATATTGGCACGTTTAGAAATAACCATTGTTGTTGTTCCACCACCTCCAGAATTAGAATATCATCCGCTCCAACCGGGATGCCGTCCACCAAGCGTACGATCGGTGTGCAACATCGCGTACAGGCTGGTTGGGTCGGATGCGCCTTCTTGCGCCTTTGCTATGTTTGGACATTTGTGTTCGCACTTTTCACGGATATCATTTGTAAATATTTATTTGTTTCATTCATCGCTGATGTTGCAAACTGGATGACTCACGCAAATCGAATGATCGGCCTCTGCGTGATTTTGGTCGCGCCGCCGCGCCATTTTGGCTGCGTGTATTTGGTAATCATTGGGAATTCCAGACGCCACCGGGAATGAATCTACAATCTTTTCCCCCTTTCTGACTTGACGTACGTGTGTTGCGCCTGTCTTGTTTTTTCGCTTTTCCGTTGCTTACTCTCTGCCCACGCGCGCCGGGGCATCCGGGCACCCGAGCACACCCCCGGCACCCAGGCGTGCAGCGAAAATCGGGGGGCAACCTCACTCCCAGGCACCCCCGGTCGCGTTGGTTGGATTATTGCCGCAATATATGCAATCGGAGTTAGTGTTTGTTGGAATCATGGGTTCGGTTAAAATTCATTCTTGTCAGAATGCCCCCCTCTATTACATGGTTTGTCGTGATGGAATCGCTGCGGTATTTATTATCACCACATCGAAGATGATTAAAACAAACAATATTATCAATGCGCTTATGTTGTCGTGGTTGATAATAAATACATGCGGATTGTAAACACATTGTTCAAAATGCCTATCTCCATAATATGATTAGTCGTGCCTCCCATAGAAATAAAGTGGATTGCGCGTGGACTGCGACCAAAAACTGGAACGGCGGTAGCCCAACCGTCGTCCGCATTTTCTTTGCGGCACGTGTCTTTTGCATCTTGTTTATTTTTGTTTTACGTTTGCCCGCGTTTTGGTGCGGTATTGTTATTGCTTCGTTCATTGATTGTGGTGCGCAAGTCGTTTTTGTTATATATATATATATATATATAGATAGATATATGTCGTCTTGGTCACCGCCGTTCACGCTCATTTGTCGTCGGTCGTCGGCAATATCGAATTGGCGTAACCCTTCACACGGTATTTAACTGCGCTTCTGCCTTTTTGCGCACTTCGCATTCGGCTTGAAGATAAGGACATACACAAAAACGACGCAGACACGGATAAACATTTATGGAACCGTTCTGCTGCTCTGATATTATATGAATCCCACCAACCCTCTGGGTGTCGGTGATTTAGTACTTTTCCTCCTCCACTCCCCTCCTTCACCTTCGGAAACGGGCTTCCCCTCCCCCATACCCCTTCCGCGTGGCAATGGACGGGCGGGCCGTAAAACGGTCAGGGCGTCCAAAACGGCCAAGCCCAGGAAACCAAAATCATTGATGTTATTGGATTTTGGCTCTATTCTGGCCTCCTAAAAGCGCAATCCGAAGTGACATTTTTTATCGATATTCTCAAAAATGACGCGAAAAAGCGCGCATGAGGCCGCAAGGAGTCACCGAATGGGCGCAAAAGGCTCCAGGGGCATCCAAGATCCCAAGCGGTCCAAAGAAACCGCCCGAAGCACCCAAGACGCCGAAAAACCGCGTTTAGATTTTTGAACTACTTTGGAATCCGTTTTTGCAACCGTGGAATCTTAAAGCCTTCATTTTAGCGCGTGGGTATGAACAACAGTCGCCGAAGGAAACAACGAAAATTCTTCCAGACCTTAGGCACGAAAAGAGGCCTCAAACGAGATGCTTCAAACGGTGACGGGCGGCTTGCAAATCACAGCCAGAATAGGCCGGCACGGTGGGCCTTCCGACATCGGATACTGCGACTGCAGCGGTGCAGCCGACACAACCGGATTACGTGGCGGACTACGGAGTTCGATTACGGATGGCAATCGCACGTCTGATCCTATTTAGAAAACCATCATTGGAACATCACGTGTTGCGTGCCAGCGATGCCGATTGCCATGTTACGCTGTTATCACAATCCCTGGCGCTTGGCTTGTTGGATTGTGATAGCACCGTAGCATGGCATCGAACTGTTCCTTCGGAGCCCGTGTACACAATGGACGCCGTGCACTTTCAAGTGGCTGTGCCTTGGCTGTTGCGGTGGCTTTTGCCCCTTGTCAAGAGGGAAGTGCTGTCGGACATGCCACTGCCGCTTGGACCCTCTAGGGGACCATGCAGCTTCTTGCCCGCGCTCAGGCCGTTTGAAACGACGTAATACTCCTATCAAACGCATGTGAGTGCGAATCATGCGTGAAACTGGAGCACGGGTGCGTGCAAAAAATTTACCTACGGGAATGCGGCGGTACCACAAATTGATCCGGCAGACGGCCGGCACATCGAAATGGTCGCAACAGGGCTGCCAATGACAAAGGGGGTTCCACTTGCAATCGATGCGACCATGGTCTCCCCACTGCATGCGGACGGCACCACATGGGACTACGCAGATTCAACACGGGGGGTCGCGCTGGCCCGGACTAAAAAATCCATTTACCCGGAGCTCGTCGACAATCCAGTGCTGCTCCTGGTAGTCGCGGCGATGAAGACCGGTTGCACATCTCAACGTCGGACTTACTGGAGAAAACTGCTTTCGTCCGAGCTCGTTCTGAACCTCGTCCCCTCCGGAAAACGGCCGCTGGAGCGTGGCGCTCCCGCTGGGTGACGATGATTTCGGTGGCGGGCCAAACTGCCTTGGCGTCGACCTTGGTGGACCACGGGTGGGCCAGCTTGACGCCCCGGACGGCAGTGAGCCCCTAGCCGTCGATATCTGGCTCGACGGGCCATCGAGGCTGGGTGAGTGAGGGTGTCCTCCTCCTCCTTTTCCTCCTTTTCCTCCTTCTCCTCCTCCTCCTCCTCCTCCTCCTCCTCCTCCTCCTCCCCATCCCCATCCTCCTCCTCCCCCTCCCCTTCCTCCTCCTCCTCCTCCTCCTCCTCCTCCTCCTCCTCCTTCCTCCTCCTCCTCCTCCTCCTCCTCCTCTCCTCCTCCTCCTCCTCCTCCTCCTCCTCCTCCCTCCTCCTCCTTCTACTCCTCCTCTCCTCCTCCTCCTCCTTCCTCCTCCCCTTCCTCCTCCTCCTCCTGCCTCCTCGTGCTCCTCCTTCCTCCTTCTCCTCTCCTCCTCCTCCTCCTCCTCCTCCTCCTCCTCCTCCCCTTCCTCCTCCTCCTCCTCCTCTTCCTGCTCCTCCTCCTCCTGCTCCTCCTCCTCCTCCTCCTCGTTTGGCTCTGCTTAGCCAGCCTGTTTCGGCCCCCTGTGCCTATTTTTTTCGTTGCTCGGCCGGCTGCCCTCGATCGCTAAAGGCGCTGTCGGTGGTGGATCGTTCGGTGCTGCCTCGTGGCAAAAATCAGAAACACAACGTTCAGGGGGATCAAGATCACGATTCCTTACACACGGCATATTTATATGTATATGTGTATATATACACATATATATATATAGGTGTTCGATGCAATTTCGGACGGTATTTGAAACAAGTGCTTGAAGACATTAAGAATGCGGCTGTCGTATAGCCTAGTATCCACATCATGGGCCGAATGCGCTCGCATATTTACGAGCAGCTGACGTGCAGTCAGGAACAAAGTGTATTACAGCAACAAGGTTGGCGGGCGAATGGTGCAATTGGGCTTATGTTCCGGGCAAGGTGTGACTGCTCTGCTGACCATATTGCCAACATGTGTTGCTACGTTTCAGCGACGACAATGCGTGATGCGTCGGTGGCTCGGGTTGGCAATCTGCTACGACCAACCCGATGCGCGCGGGCACTGCCGCATCAACGACAACCAGGCAAGCAAGTGGGAGGCGCGACGCAACGCCCTGCCGATAACCTGGAAGCATGAGCGACAATGTTGTTCCGTATCGGTTCAGCACACTATCGAACCGCCTGGAGCTTGTCAGGTCCCAGACTCGATCAGGCTCGCATGCTCAACGACATGATCACAACGATTCGTTGATCTACACTGGCGAGACTGCTGCGTTCACGCAGCATCGCGACACTCCAGTATCACAAGGGTTCGGCTCGGTCTGCGGAATGCTATTGGGGGTTCTGTTGCGGCACCCGATGCGTTCATTCCAACATTTCCTATGGGTGTTGGCCGCTTTGACATCGACCAAGTTACAGAGCGTGCTTTTTTTACCCCCGTCCGCGCACGACGAAACAGATGCGTCTCTGGGAACGTGGGAACCATGGTGCGCACGCGCGAGGCCCAACAGTCTGCGGCCGAGCAAGGGCCCTCTAGTCATGGCCACCATCCCAAGTCTGCCAGCACGTTCGCACACGGGAGCAACATTGCACCAACTGTTCGATATCAGATCCTACGGCTACCAGAAAGAGTGCTCGGGCTACCGGATGGCATGTTCGCGCTACCACCTGCCGTGCGCGGGCTACCAGATGCCGTGCCCGGGCTACCAAATGGTGCTGGGGCTATCAACTGCTACCAGCTGGCGCGTTCGGACCGGAGCTGCGCAACCGGAAGACGCGCAGAGAGTCCGCGAAGAGCGGCCACCTTCGGGCGCGGCCTCAGCGACCCTTCTGTGACGAGCCCCTTCCGTGGCGACTCCCTCGCCCTCAAGGCTCCCCCATCGGGGCGCATGCCGACGCCTCGGGGCGAGGCGAGGTGTCGCGGAAGCGGTCGGATTGCCTGGGGCCGCCAGCGCGGCGCGATGCACCGGAGACGAGAGCCGAGCGGCGCTCGCGCGCGACGCGTGCGCGGGAAGCTTGCGCGCCAGTGTCGGTGAAGGCGGGCCCGTTTTCTGGTGCCGCTCACTTTGAAGGCGCCCAGGGAAACCCTAAGAGATAGGCAAACATCAGAGGATTCCCCCAATGCTCCCATACTTTCTAGAGTTTCGTCTTCCCCTCCATTTCCCATCTTGTCCTATGTTTTCATGGGAGTGATCGTTTAGTTGTGTCTGTGGGTTCTTGTCCTCCTGAACCTGGGCAGCGGCACCTCCTCAACGAGCTCGAACCGCTCCGCCACGAGGTCCTGGAACTCCTTTGGTCGTCCCCAAACGTGGTGTGACAACACCTACACCTGGCGGTGAGTCTCGGGCGACTTGGTCTCACCACCTGGTTTGGGGACTCGTGCGGTTTTTCGAAGATGCCCCGAACGCCGGTGGGTCCAAGAGTCGCAAAACCCGGCGGCGGCACCGTGTCCCACAACCCTGCGGTGCCCTTTGGGGGATTTCAGGTCACCACCTGCTGTCTCACCACCTGCTTTGGGGGCTCCCAGCTCCTGCGAAAACGACTGCCCGTGCCCGCCCGCGCCGGTGCCCAGGGCGAAGGTGCCGGGACGCCCGTTGGCCAGTCCTGCGCAGGGTCGGCCGGCATCGAACCGCCGAATCGGATCGCATCGGAAGGAACATCGGATCGGGCTGCTCGGAATCGAGATCGACACCCAGACCTCCTCGCGTTGTGAAAAGTCACGACGGTAAGGACTTCACTATCTTCGGCCTCCAGGGGCCCTCGGCGGGCCTCCCTCGGGACTGGCAGGCAACGCCTGAGGATGTGAAGCTGGTCCCCGGGAAGGGGTCCAGGCTACTGGTGGTCACGTCGTGAGAAAAGAAAAAACACGGCGTCGGGGGTCGGGAAATCGAGATCAAATCTGATCGCCCGCGCCCGGAGTCGCAGCTCTGCCGTGCGAGCACCGCCGGGTCGCACCGGGTCGCAGGGAAAGCGACATCGAAGCGGCTCGAGCCGGTTGGACTCGACGTCGAGTCGGGTCGATCGAAACATACATAGCCGGCGGCCTGGCGACCCCAACCCCCGACGTCGTGGGCTTTCAACGACTTGGCAGAAAGCCGTTGGGCCCAACTCGGGGATGTACGATGGGGGGGCGTCCATCCTCGGTAGGGGTGCGTCCAAGCAGCTCCGTTCCTGAGCCGCCAGCCTTCTGGGGGCAGCTCCGAGGTCTGGGGGTGACCAGTTGCTCGCGGAAATGGGCCCTGGTCCTGGCACCCCGGACGGCCAGAGCCCCCACTCGCCCACACACAGCAAGTGCCGCGCGCGCCCGGCGGCCCCCGCGGCGAGCCAGCCCCGCAAGCACTCCAGGCCGAAAGTGCCGCCGCCACCGTAGTCCGGCCACATCAGCACCAGGTTCCGATCGCCGCCGCTCGCAGCGGCCTGCAGAGGAAGAACGCTCGGCACGACCCTCAAAACTTTCGGAGGTCGCTGCTGACTCCTTGGATCGGCGCTGGGCCCCGCCCGAGCGCGCCAGGGGGCGGCGCCGAAGGCGCCGCTGGGGAAGTCCAGCGCAGATCCAAGAAGTCCGCGCGGGCCTCGGGACGTTTATGCCTATGCATGTCTTTTTCCTCCCAGCCTCGGGCCCCCCCTCCGCCACCACACCCAGGGCCGGCGCGGCCTCCAGCGAGCACCCTTCCTGTCGGGTGCGCCGAAGAGGGGGGGCCAGGAAGAGGGGGGGGGGTATCGCATCATGGCCCGAGGCAGATGCGCGGACGAGGGAGGGGGGGGGCAGGGACAGACGGACAGACAGAGAAGTCAGGCGCCCAGACAGCGCATCGGCAACAGAGCCCGGCTGAATCAACGAAAAGTGATCAAGGAGCAACGTGCATGGTGCCATCGACGGCGGGCGAGTATCATCATTCACTAAACAACATTGGAACGCCGACTTGAAGGGGGGGGGAGGGAAGGGGACGGGGGAAGGATGCAGGAGCTCGGCCATCACGGCCTCACGCTGAGGGGGCAGGGGCTGCACTAGAATTAGACGAGGCGGAGGGGGGGGGTCCTACAGTCTGGGAGTTGCATGGCCCCGGCCACGATGCCCACGCCCAGCTTCGGAGCAAGGCGGCCTGAGACCCTGTGGGGGTTCAACATCGGCCCCCGCACCCCTCCTGGGGCCCAAACGCACCAATTTCGCACGCTGAGTCCAGCAGTGGTGACGAGGGGTCCCCCCGAAGGCCAACTGCCGCTGCCTCAACTCGTCGTCCTATAAACTGGGGTCGGATCGAGCGGGTCGAAGGTCACAGGCCTCCCGGATGGGGCCCGAGTAGATGGGGTCGGAGGATCGCGCCGCATCTCCGACGCGTCGGCGATGCAGCGGCGACGCTGGCAGTGCATCGGCGACGTCGGCGTGGATACACTCGGGCTCTACTACTGGTGCTTCAAACGGCCCTTCGCTGACAGCCAGTCTTCACCCAACTCGAAGTCTTGTGGCTTGTGGGGCCACGTCCTGCGGCCGCTCTGCACGCTTTCCGGGCGCCCTCGGGCACGCTCTCGACGAGGCGCAGCTGCTGGAGAGCATCCCGAGGCGAGAAGGCCTCCGGAGAGAAAACGCAACCTTCCGAAGATCTGGTGCCGACCAAAAATGCCTCGTCGAAGTGCTGCGGACCTCGCGCCGCCCCCCCCTCCTCGGGGAAGGACACCTCTCCAAGAGCCAGCGAGCGAACACTTCTGGGGCCCTCTACATCCCAGAACGTGACGTCGGGCTGTCTGAACCGAGTGGAGCCCCAGATGTCTTAAACCCTTCCCCGAGACCCGTCCGTCATCCCGAGTCGGCCTTTGAGGTAGAAAATTGCCCCACAACTCCTGTCGTGATGTTCCGCAACGAGAGTACAGTCCGCCCTAACGCTGCCTTCGAGGGCTCTCGGTTTTCGGGTCATAGCTCGGCTCTCTGGCGGCCGTTCGGGACGACCCGGGCACCCCCAGAACGCCATCGGCGAGACGCAGCCGCTTGAAGGTATCCCGAGGCTGGAGAGCCGCAGAGAACCCATGAAAACGCCCGAAACCTCAAACCTCGAAGCTTCGCCCGACCCCGGGGCTGTCTCCTCCCCCACCGACGATCTGGGGAACCTCGGAGCGCTCTCGGTGAGGCGCAGCCGCTGGAAGGCATCCCCGTGGCTGGGGCGCCGCGGGGAGCCGATGAAGACGCCCGAACGCCTCAAGCCTCACACCCTCCCGAAAGCCAATCCCCACAGAAGGGGCCTCTGCCGGCCACGGCGAGCACGGGCGCGCTCCCCGACCAGGGCCGTCAGGACACGGCCCGAAGACCAGAGCGCCGTCCTGCGCTCCCGAAAAAAGGAGGAGGAGGAGGCGGAGGAGGAAGAGGAGGAGGAGGAGGGCGGAGGAGGAAGAGGAGGTGGGCGGAGGAGGAGGAGGAGGAGGAGGAGGAGGATGAGGCGGAGGAGGGCGGAGGAGGAAGAGGGCAGAGGAGGAGGAGGAGGAGGAGGAGGAGGGGGAGGAGGAGGAGGAGGGCGGAGGAGGAGGAGGAGGAGGAGGAGGAGGAGGAGGAAGAGGACCAGTGTAAACCCAAGAGTCATCAACGATGTTGGAATTATCCCTCCCTCCAAGCTCCCTCTTCATAGACCCCTACGACTGTTCATTTCGCTTGAGGGAACTGCCTCGTTCGAATTCCACCGTTCGAAGACCTTGAAGCACGCCAATACATTGTTTTCGGAATTTCCACGCCATGGATCAACCTGGCTGCTGCGTCCTGGCGATCTGGAATCGTACCAGAAAACCGTCTCTGGAACTTCAACACGGCAATCAACATAGCTGTTGCACCCGGATAATCTTGAATCCCTCCAAGACACCATGTCTGGTACGTTGATCATGGAAATCCGTGGAACTCCTGCAAGTCCCACCAGCCCTCTGGGCGCAGGTGGTTTAGGGCGACTCCTCTTCCAACCCTCTTTCTTCCCTTTCGGGAAAAGGTTTATTATTGTTCCCTATTCATAAGTACCACCTCACCCACCCGGCCGGCGGCCAACCCGGAACAATGCCCCCCCCCCCACCACCATCCCTTTCAAACAACACTACAAAACACACTCCGCCTCCACATTCAGAGCATGCGCGGCCGCCCCGCGACCACTGTGTATTGATATTTTACAAGGACGGCCGGGGTGCGGGCAGATCCCACCTGCCTTCTGGCAGCGGGTGGTTGTCCAAGATGGTCCCAAGAAGCTTTCCTGGGCATCCGGGAGGCCCTCAATAATGCCCTACCAAAAGAGGCCCAAGAGGACCCGAATACCTCCCAACACCACCGCAACATGTCCCGAAGAGGTCGAACCTTTGGTCCAATGGCCCGGTGTTACTCATGTGGTGGGAGGGCGGGTGGAAGTGAGCTGCACGGCTTGCTCTTTGTAGGAGTCGTGACCCCTCCCCTAATTACCCCCTCCCCTGGACCTGCACGGGGCGCCCCGCGAGCGGTCAGGGCGTCCAACACGGCCTCGGCGAGGAAGCCACAATCATTGGTTTTACAAGGGTTTTGGCCCCATTTTGGCCTCTTGGAGGGGCGGCGCTAAAGAGGGAGCCCCCTTCTTTGATCGATGCCCTCCAAGATGGCCCCAAGAAGCGCCCAGGAGGCCCCAAGAGGCCCCAAGATGGCCCCAAGATGGCCTCAAGAGGCCCAAAAGGCCCCCAAGAGGACCCCAAGCGGCCCCAAGAGGCCCCCCAAGACGCACAAGAGTTCCCCAGGATCGCCAAGGGACCCCCAAGACGTCCCAAAAGGCAACCACAAAGCGCCCACAAGATATCCCAAGAGACTCCGGAAAAAGGCATCCATGAGACCTCTGGCCTCTTTGCTTGCCTTTCTCCTCTTCTGCTCCTTCCTTCCCCTGCTCCTTCTCTTCCTCCTCCTCCTCCTTTTCCTCCCCCTCCTCCTCATCATCATCATTGCCACCACCACCATCATCATCAACAACATGATCATCATCATCACAATCATCATATTCATTTTCCTTCTTCCCACTCACTCATCCATCCATCCAGCTTTCTCCTTCTCCTCCTCCCTCCTTCGTACGGTTCGGCCGTCCCCGTCTTTGCTCCCACGCTTCCCTGATCGCCTCAACTCGCCTGGACATCGTTTCTGGATGGGCTGGTGGGGATTCTTTTGATCGCGACTGCAGGCGGGCACCCGCGCGGCGTCAAAGGGTCGGACAGCACAGAGCCAAGGCGTACAGTGCAACTGTCGTCAGCAGGGCGCAGGGAAAAGGCCACGCTGGGGCGAGAACTACCTAGCGGAACACGGCGGCAACGCGGCAGGGGCGAGGGCAAACGCAAGAAACAGAGGAAGGAGGCGCAAAAGCGAACAACTGAGAAGAAAGGAGGACCGGCAAACTGCTGGTGGGGATCTTTTTTGGTCAACAAGCTCGCGAGGCGGGTCGAAAAGGCGTCCGAACACTAGTCGGGCCGCGACTAGGCAGCAGGACAAGAAAGGCAAGCGAAGCGAGCGAGCGGGCAGCCACTCAGAAGGAGAGCCAAAACCGAAAACCCAAACCCGGTGGCGTTGGAAATCCCGGTGGCGATCAGCAAGTAAGCGCAGCCAAAATGGCGCAGCGGCGCGACCAGAAACACGCAGAGGTCGATCGCTCGGTGTGACTCAGGCAAATAGCACTGTCAGAGACGAACTAGACCGACAAGCAGACCCAGACGACATCCGTGAAGTAGGCGACACAAATGCCAAAACATCGTGTCGGCGCAAGAGTGAAGAGGGGCAACCTCGCCACCGACAAGACTGTAAACGGCAGAAACACCTGTAACACTTGTCAAGAGCAAATACCATGCAGGCCTCGGCCAAAGAGCGTACAGAGCCACACTTGCTGGACCCGAGGTCCAGGTACCGTAAGGTAGGCAGTGTAGCGAGAGACCCACTGGAACCTTCCGGGTAGGTGCCGACGCCAGCCAGGAGCAGGCCAGGGGGCACCTGACCTCAACGAGTGCGACGCAGCACCATTCCCTGTGAATCCTTGCGCGAAATCCAGACCACCTGAACGCCATCAGGAAGCAGTATTTGGCAGCAAACCCCAGCCGCCAGGGAAGAACCCTGTGAAACAGGAGGGAGAACACACCGGTGCAACAGCTGACCGCTGTGGCATAAGGATGCAGGAGGAGAGGAGGGGAAGTGCACGCCAGGCACGGTAGGCACCCCGGTGTGGCAGCTGACCGCTGGCTGGTGGGGATATGCGAAGCGTCTAGAATTTTCCAAACGAATGTGCGCGGCGCTAAAACGAGAACCACATTTCGAAAAGGAATCGCCCTCAATCCGTGAAGCTCTTGCATGTTTTCATTTTGTTTTTATATAAAAAATGCGCGCGGCGCTAGTGCGAGAAACACATGTTGAAACAGAACCACCCTCCATTCGTTAAACTCTTGCAAGTTTCAACACGAATGCGCGCGGAGCTAAGGCGAACACCACATTTTGAAAGCCACCCACCCTCCATCCGTGAAGCTCTTGCGAATGTTTAACACGAGTGTGCGCGGCGATAAGCGAGAACCACATTTTGAAAACCACCCACCCTTAATACGTGAAACTCTGGCAAATTTTAACACGAATGTGCGCGGCGCTAAAGCGAGAACCACATTTTGAAAACCACCCGCCCTCAATCCGTGAAACTCTTGCAACATTTTGAAACGAATGAATGTGCGCGGCGCTAAGGCGAGAGCCACATTTTGAAAACGACCCGCCCTCGATTTGTGAACCTGTTCAAAATTTGAGCTTCAGAGTCATCAGAGGTGATGACGTCTCAGGCGAAACGCCCGGGCCGCCCTAAAAACTGGCCTCGGGGTGCGACAGGGAGAAGTTATTTATAAGGACAAGGAATGGAGATGGAGGAGGAGGAGGAGAAGGAGGAGGAGGAGGAGGAGGAGGAGGAGGAGGACAAAGAGGGAGGACGAGGACGAGGACGAGGAGGAGGAGCAGGAGGAGGAGGAGGAGGAGGAGGAGGAGGAGGAGGAGGAGGAGGAGGAGAGGGAGGAGGGAGGAGGGGGGAGGAGGAGGAGGATGAGGAGGAGGAGGAGGAGGAGGAGGAGGAGGAGGAGGAGGAGGAGGAGCAGGAGAACGAGGAGGAGGAGAATGAGCAGGAGGAGGAGGAGGAGGAGCAGGAGGAGGAGGAGGAGGAGGAGGAGGAGGAGGAGGAGGAAGAAGAGCCCTCCGGGGCGCCCCCCATCCTCTGGCGGCCCCGCGCCACCAGCTGCGCCGCCGAAGCGGCCGCTCCACCTGCCGAGGCTCCGCGCCTGCACGTCCGCGCCCCGACCGCGCAGCAGCCGCGCCCAGAGCCCGGAGCCGGCCCCGAGCTCGAGCAGCGGGGTGAAGCGGGCGAGGCAGTCCAAGGCCTCCAAGCTCCCCACCCCAGACCCTCTCGAGAAATGCAACGATCATGACGGGAGGTTTTCCGCCATTTTCGGCATCTGGGGGCCCTCGCTGGGCCTCGGGACCGTCGGGGAACGACTCAGGATGAGACACCGGTCCCGGGGAATGGGTCGAGACCTCTGGGGGTCGACGTTATGAAAAAATCATGACGTCGGGGGTCTGGGACACTTTCTCGGTGGCGGGAGGAATAGGCGGCGCGCGCATAAGGGGGTAGGGGGCGGGGGGGTGGCTTGGAAAGAGCCTCCTTCTTGGAGGGCGCTTGCCCTGCATCCGTAGACGAGGCCCGCGCCTTCTGAGAAGCACGGGTGGTTCTAAGAAGCCTTCCCCCCTCCCCCGAAAACTAACCCTCCCTCGTGGCGGAAAAAATCATGGTGGGCCCGTCATCGGGGCGAAGCGCCAAGGGAAGGTGTCGAGATCTCCTGGGTTCACGTTGTGAGCACATCACGTCGGGCGGTTTCGGGGTTGTTTCGGCCTCCTGGGGCCCTTAATCGGGGGCCAGGGCCGTGAGAAAACAGCTCAACCTGCTGCGCTGCGTGTCGGTTAGGTGCTCGGCTTGATCTCGAGATGTGGGGCAGCTGCAGACAGCTCCTCGTCGCTTCGCGATGGCAGAGGGCATTGCTTTGACACCGCGAGCGCGCCGACACCGGTGCACTGCGGTGCCCGCGCCGCAGCGTCAGTCAGCTGCCGTCAGAAAAAACGAGCTCCGCACTGCAGGCCGTAACAGAACTGCGACGGGTGGCTCTGGCCTTCTTCGGCCTCCCGGGGGCCCTCGCCCGGCGCGGGGCCGTGAGAAGCCGGCTCGGACGACGAGCGGTCTCGGGGAGCGGGCCCCAAACTCTCGAGAGCCACACGAGCGACGACAAGAAGCGGGTCTTACGCGAGATGGCGCAGCGAGCTTACTCGGCCGCTTGCGCGGGCCGCCTGCGCGGCACGCCACAGTGAGAGCGAGGGCGCTCACGCGCGATCTTACGCGAGCAGCTTACGCGGCAATGCCGGCGCAGACGACTCCGTGTTTTGGCGCCGCTCACGTTGTGAGCAAGCCGCGACGTCGGAGTTCCGGGGAGGGCAGAGCAGCCACACTGAAAAAGGAACACTTCTACGAGCGGGGAAGGAGCCGGACAGGGCAGGGCCGTTTTGGTAAACGCCCTGGGCTGTTTCGTGCATGGCAGTAATGCCCGTCTGTCGGGAGAAGTGGGTCAAAACATGAAGTAGGGAGGCGGCCAAAGTAGATTTGGTTCAGGCGCGCCCAGAGGAAAACAAAACACAGCAAAAGCATATCGGTTCTTGAATAGGAAGGCTCTTGAAGTAGATTGGGATCTGGGAGTCCAGAAATACCAAATTTCAACGACCAGCGTGAAGGGTCGGGGTGTTTTTCCTCCCTCGGGCCTCCGCCGTAGGCACGCTCCACGCAGTCTGCTTCCTGATCGAGACGCTCTCCTTACGCAGAAGGAAGAAATATCAGCGGCATAAGCAGACTTCTTCGGAGGTCCGCACGGACTGCTTGGATTGGCACCAGACCCCCCTGGCGGCGCCTCCGGCGCCGCCCCTGGTGCGCTCTGCGGGCCAGGAAGGGGGCCAACGCCTATCCAAGAGATCCGCGGGGACCCACGTGTGAGTGCTTTTTTCTTCTTCGATCTCCTTCGACATGGTGTTGGTGTCCTCGACGCTGAGCCTGCCAGTCACCAGGAACTGTGCGACGAGGTAGGTTCCCCACATGCGCATCTTCTCGCAATACGTGGCCAGCAGCTCGTTGCCTTCGACGGCTGCGGCAATGCTCGTGCCGTGGCCCATCCCGCGCGGCACACCTGGCCACCTCTCTGGCACCAGTGCCATCTGCTGGGCCTCAGGGTGCTCGTGAAGACGGTGCAGACACAGGAAGAGGTAGTAGGACGCCTGCACCCACGAGGCGCGAGTGACCTCCTCATCGCCGAGGCTCGGCCCCCAGAGCTGCCTGAACACCTCCTCCACGCGGGCACGCTGCGCGTCAACGGCCCCCTGAACCTCCGCACACTGTGCCTCGGACCGGGCCGCATCGGCGCGGCGCGCCGAAGCATCGAATCGGATCGGCTGCGCCAGGATGTACCACAGCGCCGTGCATCGGTGGTTCAAAGATAGGGTCCTGAGGGATGGGTCCTAAGGAGGATAGTAAGGGATCCAATGGTGAAACTGCATTGTGGGAGGCACCTCGTCCTTAGGACCCCATCCCTCAAGAACGCATCTCTGAACCACCGAGTGCCAACACCAAACCGCGCCAGGTCGCCGGAGCGTCGGAACCGGGCCAGACCCGGCCGGCCGAGAGGCGATGCCTCGAATCGTTGGCGAGGCGAGACAGCGACAGCTCGCCACGACACGACCCCTCCGAGGGTCCAGACGCGCCACGTTTTCCGAGCTGCTCCCGGCCGTGGCGACGAGGGCTCCCCCCGAATGCCAGCTGTAGCTGCCTCGGATCGTCCTCTCGGGTCGGATCGAGCGGGCCGAAGGCTGGAGGCCTCCCAGGTGGGGTCCGAGTCGATGGGGTCGGAGGATCGCGCCGCATCCTCGATGCACCGGCGACGCTGGCAGTGCATCGGCGACGTCGGCATGCATACGCTCGGCCTCCACATCGAGCCGCATCGCCGATGCATCGGCGATGCGGCGCGATCCTCCGACCCCATCTGCTCTCGGCGGCGAGCGAAGGGGGAAGTGAGAAGGAGAAGGCCTTCTCAGAAGGCGGCGGGGCTTCTCAGAAGCCCTCCTTGGCCTTCTGAGATGCCTTCCGCGTCTTCGGGGAAAGCCTTGAACAAACTCCTCGGAAGGGCAGGGGACTTCCGAGCCTTTTCAGAGGAGCCGCCCCATCTCACTCCCCCCCTCGGGCGCGCCGCCGATGCTCGGACCCCATGTGGGAGGCCTGGGAGTTAGGTCGGGCATGTCCTCCTACAGGCGGGTTTTGGAAGACACAGTTGAAATATTAGCACCATATTCAAACATACGCAGACATGGTAATAACCGGCCACGGGCGATAATACCCCCCCTGGGATGAGAAAATTCGCGGTTCCCGCGGGGATGATAAAGGGTTTTCCCGGGGAAGGTAAGTTCACTATTATGATGATGATGATGATGCTGATGCTGATGCTGATGCTGATGCTGATGCTGATGCTGATGCTGATGCTGCTGATGATGATGATGATGATGATGATGATGATGACGATGACGATGACGATGATGATGATGATGATGATGATGATGATGATGATGATGATGATGATGATGGTGATGATGAGGATGACGACGTTGACATATCGGCCCCAGACAATTTGTTGACTCTATTTGAATATTCCTCCTGTCGAGGGACGTGCCCGACTTGAGCCTGGCGGGGTGGCCCCGCCTCTGCCCCCAGCGGCCGCGCCGCCGCCGCCTCCAGCACGCCGCGGAACGCCGCGCCCAGCTCGGAGCCCACCGCCCGCAGCCCCGCCCAGAGCACGCGCTTCTCCCGGGCGCGCAGCGACACTGCCAGGCGGCGGGGGCCCTCGAAGGCGGGAGGGCGCCGACCCCTGAGACCCCGGGATAGGGGGAACAGAAAGTGGCATAAACACAAAAACTCGGAGGTCCGCGCGGATGTCTCGGATCGGCGCTGGGGCCCCCCCTCGGCGCCTCCGGCGCCGCCCCTGGCGCGCTCCGCGCGCCAGGGAGGGGGGTCCAGCGCCGATCCGAGAAATCCGCGCGGACCTCCGAATTTTTATGTTTATGCCACTTTCTGTTCCCCTACGGGAGTCGCAATCCTTTCGCACTGGGCTTCCTCGCCCATTCTCGGGCCCCTGGAGCCTCAGAAATGATCCGGCTCGAAGAGTGCAGCAGAAGGATGGGGTTGATGGGCTCCGGTCGTGCACTTGCTTGCGATGCTGCAGCTTCTTTTGTCGCAGCGTCGGCCCTCAGGGATTCTGCAATACGCCTGCCCCGGTTCTTGGCCAGGCTCTTCCTGGACCTCGGGTCGGTGTGCACGCCCTCCTGGCATGGGCAGGAAGGCCTGCACACCGATCCTCCTCCTCCTCCTCCTCCTCCTCCTCCTCCTCCTCCTCCTCCTCCTCCTCCTCCTCCTAGGCCCAGGATCGGCTGAGCCAGGATCGCAGGTGCGCGTCGTCGGTACCCTCCGGCCTCGGCTCGTTCCAGGATCGCTTCGTCCTCTAGAGGAACATAACAGAGGAAGGCATGAGAAGATGTGCGCGAAGTTATGACCAGAAGGCTCCTCAGGGCAGGCCCGACAAAAAGGCGACGGAGGTGCTTTTCGCCCATGTCGGTCTCTTGGGGGGCCCTTGCAGGGCCTCGGGGCCGTCCTGAACCTGCTCCGGATGCGAAGCCAATCCCGTAGAAGGTGTCGGAGGTCCGCGCGGATCTCTCGGATCGGCGCTCGGCCCCCCCTCTCTGACGCGCGGAACGCGCCAAGGGCCGCGCCAGAAGCGATTCCCCTGGGCCCAGCGCCGCTCCCGGACATCCCGCTGCTCCAATCTTTTCAGTCCGTGGGATCCCAGAAGTCTGGACCATTCCCCTAGGCCGGTTTTTCATCCCGAGTCGTTCTTTGACGGTCGCGAGGACCGGCGAGGGCCCCAGGAGGCCGAAGACAGCCAAAAACCGTTCGCGCCAAATTCTTTGGAGCGTCGGATCTCGGGGAGGCGCGCCCCTCAGGCCCAGCGCCGCTCCGAGAATGGGCGCGAGCCCTTGAGCGTCCATGTCGAACATATGATCAAGAAAACTATCGTTTAAGAGATCTGGGTTAAATTCCCGGAGGACTCTTAAAACAAGAATGGGCACACTTCAGCCGTTCACGCTGCGAGGAAGAACGTGGTCAAGAAACTGGGCCAGCTTTCCGACCAGCTGGTCAAGAAACGCTGGCCCAGATTTTCGGGAGGAGGTGGCTTGATCATACAGTTGACGCACGACAAGGATGCAAGGGCCTTGAAGGGCCATTTCGAAGCTTCTCGAGCGGGGCACGGCCCTGCGAAAGTGGCCAAGGATGGGCCGGGGAGGGCAAGGCTGCAAGGGTACCCTTGGGAAGGCTTCCCGCCCTTACTGTGCGGCTTGGACTGCACGCTCGACCTAGAGCTACTCCAGATTTCGTAATAAAAGGAGGGGGGTCTCATTTCGGGGGGGGTCTCTTCCAGGCTATCTTGGAGGCCCTGGGGGGGTCTGGGGACGATGTTTTGGAGGGTTCTCCCACGGGGGGGGGTCTGAAATGGCTTGTCTTGGAGGGTCCAGAACCCCCTCCCTTTTATTACGAGATCTGGAGTACCCAGCCTCTCTTTTCGTTTTCTCCCTCGATCCTCGCCCAGGGAGGTCGGGTAGCGCCCGAGGAGCGCGAGCAGCACCGCCCGCAGAGACGCGGCCGCCAGCAGGTCCGCCAGCAGGGCGGCGCCGCGGAGAGCCCACGAGGCGCCCGGGCACCGCATCCTGCACGGCGGCCGCGGGAACGACCCCGAGATCCCACGCTCCAGCAGAAAGTGGGTCCCCTGGCGGTACTCCAGATCTCGTAATAGAAGGGAGGGGGTCTGGACCCTCCAAGACAGGCCATTTCAGACCTCCCCCGTGGGAGAACCCTCCAAAACATCGTCCCCAGACCCCCCCAGGGCCTCCAAGATAGCCTGGAAGAGACCCCCCCTGAAATGAGACCCCCCTCCTTTCATTACGAAATCTGGGGTAACCTGGTTGACGGTTTACCGCCGGCTCCCAGTTGGCGCACCCGGCCCGGACGGACAATGTGGCGATCTGGGGTCGGTTTTTGGAAGACTGTGAGAGATTCGAAAGTTCGTTCCGAGAACCAATATTTTCCTCACATGTAGTGGGTTATTTCGCTTCTGCCTGTTAAATGCTCAGGTCCGTAGCTGTAGTATTACTATCAAGACGTGAGGGAACCGACTTCGCATCAAAACAGCAACGAATACATTTGCGAGTTTTGGCACGGGCGGCTTTTGGCTGTTTTCGGCCTCTGGGGGCCCTCGCTGGGCCTCAGGGCCGTCAAATCATGACTCAGGACGGGCAAGCTGCAAAAGAACTGGCGCGGGCGGTGTTTGGCTGTCCTCGGCCACAGGGGGGCCCTCGCCAGGCCTCGAAGCCGTCGAAGAACGACGCAGGATAAAACGCAGGCCCTAAGGAAGTGGTCCGGACCTCCGGGGCCCACGCCTCGAAACAATTGGACCAGCTGGATGTCTAGGCCGGCGGCGGGGGGGGATGCGGGCGAAGTTTCGACGTTTTCGGGCGTGTCCGCCGGTACTCGAAGGCTTTCTAGCCTCGGGATGCCTTCCATAGGCCACGCCTCGCCGCAAGCGTTCTGGAATGCCAGGGCCATCCAAAACGGCAGTCGGAGGGCCGAGCTGAGATCCGAAAGCTCCACCCCCTTCGTGGTGAAAAATCACGGCGCCTTTGGGGGGGGAGGAGGAAGAGAGCTTTTGGGGAGAGGGAAGGGGGGACGAGGAGGGCGGAGGAGGAGGACGGTCCTTTCCCCTCCTCCTCCTCCTCCTTCTCCTCCTTCCTCCTCCTTGTCCTCCTCCTCCTCCTCCTCCTCCTCCTCTTTTTCCTCCTCCTTGTCCTCCTCCTTGTCCTCCTCCTTCTCCTCCTCCTCCTCCTCCTCCTCCTCCTCCCTTCCTCCTCCTCCCCCACGCCCACGTTGTCCTCCATCGTGGTTTAAAGGTAAGCGCGGCGTTTTTTGGGGGGTGGGGGGTGGGGGGGTGCAGTTTTCGGCCTCTGGGAGCCTTCGCCGGCCTAACCAACGACTCGGTATGAGAAGCCGGTTCTCGGGAACGGGTCCACGCCTCTGGGCGTTTTCGTGGTACGACGTCGGTGCTTTCGGATCCCAGCAGGTCTGGAGGAGGTGAGGGGCGAGTCGGCCGCTCAAGGGCGTTCCGGTTTGGTCGGAGAACGTCCACGGATGCTCTCAGAAAACGATTCGTCTTTACCCCAGGCTTGCCTGATCCCACCTCGGGGTGGCGTGCGGTTCTGGAGCTCTCGGCCCCATCTTCTTGTGGATCTAGCTGGCCGTGGGCTCCCCCGTAAACAGCGCTCGTACTTGTAAATGACTAGGTTGCGCCCTGATGAATTATTCCACTGTGCCGCGGATTTATCACATTGCATTCTATGGGTTGCGCCCCATATGATGAAACGCATGGGATGCATCGGGTGGACTGTGCTATCTCTTTCGCCATCTCGCTTGCGCGCTCGCTCTTTCCGGATCGAGCGCCAGCCCTGGCAATCGTCAGGCAGCGAGCGACTGATGGCGGGAGCGGTCAGCGGAGTGCCAGATGCATTACGTCAGCGGGCGAGACTAAGCTCGCCCGCCTCCACGCGGTGCTAAAGGCGGGCGACGCGTCCCCCTATATACGTATCATAATCTCATGTCAAAGCCTCCCTGTGTGCCTCGTGAGCATTCGGCAGGGGGGACCACACATTTAAAAACAAGATATGGCGCTATGATCACCAAACCACCACCATCTGATCATCATACCACTATCATCTGATCATCATATCTCCACCATAAGATGATCATACCACGAACATATGATCATCATACCACCACCATATGATCATCGTACAACCAACATCTGGTCACCAGACCACCAACATCTGATCATTATACCACCACCATATGATCATCATACCACCACCCTATGATAATTTCACCACACCCATAGGATCATCATACCACCACCATATGAACGTCACACCACCACCATGTGATCATCATACCACCACCATATGATCACCATACCGCTTCCATGTGACCATCATACCGCAACCATATGATCATCATGCCACCATCATATGATAAACAGACCACCGCCATATGATCAACATACCACCACCATATGATCATCATAGCACACCCATATGTTCATCACACCGCCACCATATGATCATCATACCACCATCTTATGAAAACCATGCCACCACCATATGGTCATCACACCACACCATATGAACGTCACACCACCACCATATGATCATCATACCACCACCATATGCTCACCATACCACCACCATGTGATCGTCAGACCACCACCATATGATCATCATACCACCACATTATCATCATACCTCTACCATGCGATCCTCATACCACCACCAGGTGATCGTCATACCACCACCATATGATCATCATCCCACCACCATATGATCAGCATCCCACCACCATATGAAAATCATACCTCCACCAAATGATCATCATACCACACGCATATGATCAGCATACCACCATCATCTGAACATCATACTACCACCATATGACCATCATACCGCTATCATATGAGCATCATAGCACCACCATATGATCAGCATTCCACCACCGTATGATCATCATACCACCATCATCCGATCATCATACCACCGCCATGTGATGATCACACCACCACCATATGATCATCATGCCACCACCATATGATCATCATACAACCACCATCTTACCATCAGACCACCGCCATAAGAACATCATACCAACACCATCTGATCATCATACCACCACCACCATATGATCATCACACCACCACCATATGATCATCATACCACCAACATCTGATCATCATACCATCATCATATGATCATCGTACCACAACTATATTCTTATCATACCACCAACATCTGATCATCGTACCACCGACATCTTGACGGACGACGGGCTGGCCACCGAACCCTGGCTACAGGACCCCGGCCACACACACCAAACACACACACACACACCACACACAGCACACACACCACTCCACACACAGCACACACACACACCACACACCACACATTCACACACATACACCACACACACCACACACACACCACACACAGCACGCACACACACACCACACACACCACACACACCACACATACCACACACACCACACACACCACACACACACCACACACACCACACACACCACACACACCACACACACCACCGCACACACCACACACAACCAGAACTCCATCACCACCCTTATGAGTACGGACGGGCAGACTGTCCGGCCACCAAACCCCGGATAGCCCTACTACTACTACTACTACTACCACTACTACCACTACTACTACTACTACTACTACTACTACTACTTCTACTACTACTACTACTACTACTACTACTACTACCACTACCACTACCACTGCTACTACTACTACTACTACTACTACTACTACTACTACTACTAGTACTACTACTACTACTACTACTACTAATACTACTACTACTACTACCACGACGACGACGACTACTACTACTACTACTACTACTACTAATACCACGACTACTACTACTACTACTACTACTACTACTACTACTACTATTACTGCTACTACTACCCGTATTGATGATACTACGACAACGGCTGCTGCTCGTACAAGAACAACAACAACTACTACTACTATTATCACTACTACGACTGCTCTAATTACTAGTGCGACGACTCCTCCTATTGCTACTACGGCTACCAGCATTGTTACCTGTATTACTTCTATCACGACTGTAGCTCTACAACTAAAATTACTACTACCACTATCACTACGACTACTGTATTACTATACTCCTGCTACTCGTATTGCCATGGCGGACCGCTTTCGCAACTTAAATGGTGGAGGTTCTGCGCGGCGGCCGCGGAATCACAAGCAACAAAAACATAGGCAGAGCAAACAAACACCGAGGAACCGAACATACTATATACAACAAGTACAATGTATGGAGACATGCGCACAACACATATACGCATACGTAGGACATATACAAAGCATCTACAACATGCGTGCAACACGCATACACGACCCGTACAACCATATCCCAAACAAATGCAACGCATATGCAAACATGCACAGCAATTGTATACACATACGCTAAACAAAGCCAGCCACGCACACCACGCATAACAAACATGTGCAGCACACTTAGGCAACGCATGCAACACATTCGCGGGCCATACACAATACGATCAAAAACCTATACACAACGCGTAGACACCTCACCGAACACATGTACAACACACACAGACAACAAGTACAAACAGTACTGGAGACACTTAGTGCCCAGGCGAAGACCAGAACTAACATGTGCACAACACGTGCAGACATCATGCACAACACTTATGGCACATTAAAAAAGATCAGACAAACAAATACCCACGATTTACAGCAAAATGCCACGCGTCCACCATGCACATAGAGAGACATGTTTACGCCGTACGAAAAAAAACACGTCTCCAATACATGAGCAAATCAGCTAAACCACAGGTATACGCATATAGAGGACATTCAGGCAACACATAGAGCACCTGCACATCATGTGCAACACATGTACCACATACATAGACACATAACCACATCATGTAGAATCCTCGGAATGAAGCTGTTTAGCAAGTATGTAGAAGCATAACGAAGACATGCGCAAACAACAGAAAACACACCATGTAGACAACATGTACAACGCGTACACAACATGTGTACAACACTGATGCAAACCATGTACAACGCACTTATATCAAAATAGCCTGGCGAAAGAACCAACCTTATGTAGTTGCAAATGCAGCAATTACGGAAATCGTACTCGGTGGATCTCCCTATGGGGCCACGAAGCGCTGCACTGAGTGGGGGAGGCGCATGCGGACTTTGCCACTGGGGCCTTCGGTGGAGCTCCCTATGGGCCACGAAGCGCTGCAGCGGATGGGGGAGACGCATGCTGACTTTGTCACTGGGGCCTCGGTTGGAGCTCCCTACGGGCCACGAAACGTTATGTTGGGTGGGGGAGACGCATGCGGACTTTGCCACTGGGGCCTTCGGTGGAGCCCCCCATGGGCCACGAAACGTTGAGCTGGGTGGGGGGGGGGGGCGCATGCGTACTTTGCCACTGGGGCCTTCGGAGGAGCCCCCCATGGGCCACGAAACGTTGTGCTGGGTGGGGAATTCGCATGCGGACTTTGCCAGTGGGGCCTTCGGTGTGGCTCCCTATGGGATACAAAACGTTGTGCTGGGTGTGCGGGAACGCATGTGGACTTTGCCAGTGGTGCCTTCGGTGGCGCTCCCTATAAAGCCACGGACCGGTGGGGATCCCCAATGGGGCCACGAAGCGCTGTACTGGGTGTGCGGGACGCATGCGGGCGGTCCCATTGGGGCCTTCGGTGGGGCTCCCGATGGGCCCACGAAGCGCTGTACTGGGTGTGCGGGGCGCACGCGGGCGGTCCCACTGGGACCTTCGGTGGGGCTCCCTATGGGGCCGCGAAACGCTGTGCTGGGTGGGGGCGACGCATGCTGAAGATCCCACTGGGACATTCGGTGGGGCTCCCTACGGGGCCACCAAACGCTGTATTGGGTGTGCGGGACGCATGCGTGCGGTCCCACTGTGACCTTCGATGGAGCTCCCTATGGGGCCACGAAGCGCTGTACTGGGTGTGCGGGACGCATGCGGGCGGTCCCACTGGGGCCGTCGGTGGAGCTCCCTATGGGGCCACGAAACGCTGTCCTGGGTGGTGCGTGGCGCCTGCGGGCGGTCCCACTGGGGCCGTCGATGGGGCCCCCTATGGGGCCACAAAGCGCTGAGATGGGTGGTGCGTGAAGCATGCGGCTGGTGCCACTGGGGCCGTCTGTGGAGCTCCCTATGGGCCACGAAACGCTGTGCTGGGTGGTGCGTGACGCATGCGGGCGGCCCCACTGGGCCCACCAGTTCGGTTTTCAAGCTTTTCCAGGACGACCTCGTTCGAAACATTCGGCATAATAACGTCCGCAAGTGGGTCCGTTTCCCAATGCCACTGGGGAGTGGACCAGTTCAGCAGGGTATGGACCAGTTCGCCAGCCAGGAACCCTGCAGGGAACCCTAGGAGCCACGACGAATCACCAGAAGGCCACAAGACGGGCTCCAGAGAACTTCAAACCACGCCACATGCCCCAGCAGGCGCCAGGGAACCCCAAGAGACCCCATGGAACCCCAAAAACCTCCAAATAACCCCGCGGAGCTCCATGAAGCCCCAGGAGGCTCCAGCCAGCTCCAGGGAGCCCCAGGAATCGCCAGGAAATTCATTAAGCCCAGGGGGTCTCAGGAAACTCCAGGCGGGTCCCAGAAACTTCGGCCCAGGGAACCACAGGAGGCTCCCAGAAGTCACAGAAAACCCTGGGGAGTCCCAGGGCGCACAAGGAAAGTATAGGACCCTCCCAAAAGCCCCAGGGAACGTCGTCAGGAAGCCCCAAGAAGCCCGCGAGATCCCCGCGAGGCCCCAAGACCCCCAGGGAACCCAATGAGGCCACGTGGAACCAAAATAAACGTGATGACCCGTGGGGAGCCCAAACGAATTACTCGGAATATTTGACAAGCTATGAGGATCAGCTGGGATCGCGGGGAACCAAAAGGAGTCCCGAAGGTCATCGAAGGACCCAACAGAATCCCGACGAATCTAAAAAGTCTTCGAGAGTCCTGAAGGACTCGGATGAAACGTGTGCCCTGCGGGATTTCGGCGAATGCTGGCGCAACCTGTGGGACCCCGGAGAAACCGTCAATGGATTTGTTTGAAAGACGCTCAATGCCCCGCGCGTTAGTCGCGTAGCAAGATACAAGCAGATGCGACGCAGCTGCGACGCCGCCAGGGGAACCGCGTAGAAATTCGAAGGGCCATGAGAAACCTTGGGGGCCTGGATGGTTCTTGCGTGTCAGCAGTATCCTGACGAGGCCTGAGCGATCCAGGGGAGTCAGTTGAATGACTTCTCGTGCAAGCCTCCCCCCGCCCCCCGCGCAGTGGTCACGTGGGAATCTGCAGTCGCAGAGACATCCGCACGCACGCGCGCGTGCCCAGTCGCGCAACGAGGCGCCATCATGTCTGCGGATCGAAGCGGCAACGCCGAAATATCACTCCGCGATCGTCGCAGAAGCGACGCGCGAATCCTCCCCCGCGCGTTCGGGTACTGCCGCCTCGCGCACTGAAGCTGCTTGGCGCCGCGCGCTGGGCCGACCCCCGCGCGGAAACTGCCGTCCGACATCGTCGCCGATGCGACGCGCGAGCCCATTCCTGCGCGCGCGAGCGCTGCCACGTCGCGCGGGGAAGCTGCTTGGCGCCGCGCGCCGACCCCGCGCGAACATCGCATGTCGAGACCGTCGCCGGCGCGACGCACGAGCCTTCCCCCGCGGCACTGCCCAGTCGCGCGGGGAAGCTGCTCGAAGGCGCGCGCCGACCCCCGCGAGGCTTCCTCGTGCCGAGACCGCTGCCGATGCGGCGCGCACGTCTTGCACCGTGCGCTTGCGCGCTGCTCCGTCGCGCAGGGAGTCGGCCTGGCGCCGCGGGCCGGCCCCATCGCGAGACACCGCGCCTCAAGACTTTCGCCAGCGCGGCGCAACTGCGCAACCGAGCATGGCGCGACGCGCGCGGTGTGTACAATCAGTCGCGCACCGCCTTCGCTGCATTCGAACTGCGCTGTGCAGCCTCGGGCATCGCGGGACCGCTGGAACCGTGAGCGCGCGGGGAGCCGCGCAGCGCGGCGTCACCACCTTCGCTGGGCGGGACCTCTGTGCAAAGCACGCGGTCCGAGATCGCCGCCGATGCGGCGCGCGAGTCCTTTTTCCCGCGCGCTCGAGCGCCACCCAACCGCGCGGGATATCTGTTTGGGGTCGCGCACCGACCCCAGCGCGACACATCGCAGTGCGCTGCCGACGTGGCACATCTGCACCAACGTGCATGTCGCGACGCGCTCGACAGCGCAGCGACGCGCGAGATTTCACTCACAGCGTGCGAAATTTCGTCGGATGGAACGCATTTCGTTTGGAATGCGTCCGCGCGCTCCTCGCTGTGAAATTATGTGCGCGTGCTTATATACACGCGTACGCATATGCGTGTGCATGGTTAAAAATACATGTGTGTAAACGCATATGCGTGTGCACGGTCAAATACATCTACAAAGGTCAGTGCAACACGAGGGGAGTGCAGGAGGATCGAACAAGGAAGATATTGAGGAGTCAGCCAACCCCCCTGAAAGGCGGCCGGGCGGATCCCGGCCAGCGCAGCGCCGCTCTGCAACCACTCGCCCAGCGCCTGCTCGCCGGCGAGAGCTGCCAGCTGCTCGGCCTCCGCCGCGGGCAGCCTCTGCCGGGAGGCTCTTCGAAGTTCCGACACGGCGGCTGCGGCGTTGGTGGTCACAGACATGCTTGCGTCGTAAGAAGAAATCGGCGGCGCGCACAACTGGTTAGAGGGAGGGGGGAAGCTTCTTAGAAGGAGACTCCTTCGCAAAAGGCGCCGGGGCGCTACACCCGGGCCTTCCGGGAAGCAAGGTGTTCCTAAGAAGCCCTCCGTCTTCCCCCTACCTACTCTGCACACGTCTGGATAACGGCAGGCGCTTTTTGACCGTTTTCGGCCTCCGTGGGGGGGCCCTCGCCAAGCCCCAGGACCATTTCAACGCGACTCGCCATGAACAACTGGCCCCAAGGACAGTGTTGGGACTTGTGGGGACCCCGTAATGACCAAATCAAGACATCACATGTCGGGGATTGGGTCGGTGTACAAAAAACTGGACGAATCCTCAAATATGAACCAAAAGTTCCTGACCGCCGCTCGGAAATCCCAAACGGTGATTAGCAGTGCGGGGGTCCTGCGTGGACCGCCTGCTTAAATGGCCAACCGCCATGTCGATGGCGAAATTATGGAAAGGCTGCTAGGGAAATTTCTGACTGCACAACGCAGACAGCAGTAACCACCTTCACACGAACCACCGAGTCGTTCATTCCAAAGCTCGGGGAGGGCTCCCTCGCTGTCTCATCGCCATGAAGCCAGATACCCGACGATATGACTTGCTGAATCCTGGCGTTTTGCCTTCTTTCGGCCTCTGGGGCCCCTTCCTGAGCCCTGGGGCCATCCGAAGAGGATCAGGGGGTGGGGACTTTGAGGCCGCCCCCTTCAAAAACACGCATCTTCGGCTGTCTGGGAAGTGTCAGAAGCCTCCCGAAGCTCTTCGATGTTGTCTCGCTCCGGGATGCTTCCCACCGGCTGCGCCTCGCTGAGAGCGCTCTGGGGGTGCGTGTCTCGTCAAGACAGGCCGTCGGAGGTCCGACGCGTGGCGGGGAAAGTAGCGGGCCCAGGCCCCTGGAAGGAGAAGCAGTCCCGAGGGAAAAGGCGTCGTGCCCCTTTTGGGTTGAAAGCGACTCAAGATGAAACGCTGGCCCTGGAGAAAAGCCCCGTGATCCAATCCCCGTTTCTGTCAGGATTTGCTCTCTTCATGCCAAGCCTAAGTCACCAACCTTCGCGCATCGCGCCCCGTGATGCGCAATTATATCCACGCCTTCGTCCCGCCCGCCAAAGACGGAACCAAGACTTGGACAAACTCGGACCCGGATACATCATCTGGCCGTCCCGGATCATGTATCGGGCGCCGCGGGACACATCGGCGATACATCGCCGATGCATCGCCGATGCACTGGCCATGCACTGGCGACGTCAGCGATGCATCGGCGACGTCGGCGTGGAGACATTTGGGCCCCACATTGAGCCGCTTTCGGCGATGCTGCGCGATCCTCCGACCCCATCGAATCCGACCCCATCTAGGAGGCCCAGATTCCCGAACGCTCTGAGAGTGTTCTGGAAAACTCTGGAACGATGTACCCCGATCCTAGCCACGCCCGGCCCCCCTTGGGGATGGGCAGCTGCTCTGGTTCAGACAGCGACAGGCGAAGCTCGGCTCTCTTCGCGCCCCTGGAGGTCCGGGGTCGAAATTCGGGGGCCAGAGTTCGACGCCTTGAGGTTTGTTGGATGCGAGGGGAAGGAATCGACGAGGAGAAGGAGGGGGAGGAGGAGGAGGAGGAGGAGGAGGACGAAGAGGAGGAGGATGAGGAGGAGGAGAAGGAGGAGGAGAAGGGGGAGGAGGAGGAGGAGGAGGAGGAGGAGGAGGAGGAGGAGGAGGAGGAAGAGGAGGACGAGGAGAAGGATGAGGAGGAGGAGGAGGAAGAGGAGGAGGAGGAGGAGGAGGAGGGGGAGGAGGACGTGATTATGAGGATGATGATGATGAGGAAGAGCAGGGAGTTTTTTTCGCAAATCATCACCGCCCAACGAAGTTGATGCATTATCTGGGTTGTATTCGTCGTCAGAGGAGACGCTGACAGCGTTTGAGACATGTTGAACTATTCATCTTGACTCATCTGTGCATCTGCAAACTGTCCTGAAGCGGACTTTCCCTGCCGAGGGATGCAGGAGACGCAACGGTTCTTGAGCGAAAAATGTGCGAAGGACGAGCCTAGGACAATGAAGCTCGCGTGCACACAAACAGCATGCGCGCCGACAGGCGCGGGTACAGCGGTGCAGGCAAGCGTCAGCAGGGGGTGGGAGACGGGGAAGAAACAGCGGAGTCCAGCGGACAAGCCGGCCGATCGGCGGATGGAGGGCGACGCCACGAGCGGGGGGGGAGAACCAACGGAGGTGGGCAGAGCGATGTCACCTTGGGGCAGGAACTACATCAGGCTCCGAGTTGAGAGCGGCAATCCTCTCGCGTGCTCTCTCGGGGCACGGCCTGCCGCAGCGATATCAAGCACAGCGTTGCAAATGCCATCTGCGTCGGCATCTAATTCCCTGCATGTACATGCTGTATCTCGACACTGTCCACCCTGCGCGTGGAATGTTGACGCCTTACAAGCCCGAGCGCCCGCATATACAAGGAGAAGGAGCTGGACTAGCAGGAGGAGGATGATAATGAGGACGAGGACGTGATGACGTGAGGCGGAGGAGGAGGAGGAGGAGGAGAAGGGGGAGGACGGCAGGAGGAGGAGGAGGAGAAGGAGGAGAAGGACAATGAGGAAGAGACGAGGAGGAGGAGGAGGAGGAGGAGGAGGGGGAGGAGGAAGGCGAGAAGGAGGAGGAAGAGACGAGGAGGATGTTGATGAGCAAGATTGGTGACATGGTGCGCCGTGCACCCGAGCCTCCCACCGCCGCCACAGGGCGGGGTGGTAGTGAAGCTGCCGCGGGCGGGCGGCACATCCTTGGCAGGAGCCGGATGGGCGAGCAGTGCCTCAGCCACCTGCGGCAGCGGGCGGGCACCCTAAGGGTGCTCGGTCTCTGAGCAGCGAGTCCTCCTCTCTTCTCCTACCTCGGCTCGGCTGCGCAACGAGGGGGGAAGCGAGAGGGGGCAGGCCCTCTTAGGAGGCGGTGGGGCTCTGGAAGAGGATCGAAAAGCTTCTCGGAAGGCCGGGGGCCGTCTGAGCTTCTGAGAAGGCACGCCCCCCTCTGCTTCCCCGATCGGGCGTGCCGCCGACCTGCTTCTCGGCGACGCATCGGTGACGTCGGCGAGGAGAGGATCAGGCTCCACATCGAGCCGCAACGCCGATGCATCGGCCACGCAGCGCGACCCTCCACGCCCCTCTACTCCGTCGGGAGGCCCGGATTCCTCGGCTCCTCTCCTCTCATCTCCTCCCTGCGCCCGAAACGGTTCCAGGGTCGCCCGCGGGGTCCGTGGTGGCAGGGCCCGCCCTCGTCGCGCGCGGATACGTCCCAGCCTGCGTGCTCGGGGGTGTGGCCTGCCTGGGGCCCCGCCCCGCCCCGAAGAGGTACTGCTTTTGCTTGCCCCCCCTCTGCCGATCACTTGGATGAAGCCTATGGGGACCAACATGGCACTGTCACTAAAGCATGGGAGGCCTGAGGAGGATGATTGTGTGTGTGTGGTTGTGTGCGTGCGGGAAGGGGTGGGGTGGGGTGGGGGAGGGGAAGGGGATGAGGAGGAGAAGGGAGAGAAGTGGAAGGAGGATGAGGAGGATGCCGTGGAGAAGCAGCAGAAAGGAGGAATGGGAGGAGGAGGAGGAGGAAGAGCAGGGGGTAGGGATCTGAGGAATCTGCTGATGATGATGCTGTGAATGATGATGATGAGGAGGGGGAGGAGGAGCAGCAGGAGCAGCAGGAGCAGGAAGTGGAGCAATCGGCCCGCGGAGGGCGGGTCTCCTCTCCAGGCGGCACAGCCCCAGCAGCAGCCGCGGCACCGGCTGCGAGGCCGTGAGCAACACGCGCACGGGCAACGGCTCGCCGTCGCAGCTCGTCTCCTCCAGTCGCCGGCTGGAGGGCGCCGCACTGTAGACTCAGGCAGGTAAGTTAGCCTGCGTGGCATTCCCCCCCTTCCCCCTTCCCCGCCCTCACTCAATTCTCATCCTTTCGCCCCCCTCTCCCCCCTCGAGAAAAGTCCAGATCCCAACCGGACCGCTCAAATCCCAACTGGACGGTCCAGGCCCCACTCGGTAGTAACACTGGAACGGCCCAGATCCCAACTAAATGTTTCAATTTACAAGCGCTTGAAGCGCTTGGGAGGCGCCCGATAGGCGCTGAAGTGGCGTTTCCTGAAGGCGCCTCCCTGGCTTCGTGCAAGATTCCCGTGGGTTCCTCTATAGCTTCCTGAATCTATGGGTTTCTCGAGGGTTCTGGACGACTTCTTTTACACCTCCCTGATGGATACCTGAAAGATTCCTACGTAGAAAGATTCCTGAAGGATCCGAGAAGAGTCCTGCTGAGGGATCCCTGTTGATTCCTGAACGATTTTTGGCGGATCTCTCAAGATTCCTGCAAATTCCAGAGACTGTCTAAGGATTTCTGAAAGATTCCTAGGGATTCCTGAGGATTCCTCAAGATGCCGGACAAGAAAGAAGACTCAAAATTTTTGAAAGATTCCGGAAGGATTACTGACGGGTTCCAGGGGGTTCTGAAGATTCATGAAGATTCTTGAAGACAGCGGATAATTCCTAAGATGGATTCCTCAGGAAGTCCTAGCGGTTTCCTGTGGGATTCCTGAAGATTCCTTTTGGATTACCGGCCGACTCCTGAGGGCTCCTTACAGATTCTTTTAGAATCCACAAGGGGATCCTGAATTCGTAACGGTTTCCTGAAGATTCCAGAGGGTTCTTCAAGGATTCTTGAAGATTCCTAAAAGGTTCCTGAGGGGTTCCTGAAGAGTTCCTGAGGTCCCTCTAGAAAGCTTCCTTATGGGTTCCTGAAGGATTCCTGAGGAGTCCTGAAGATTCCTGAGGATCCCCGAAACATCCCGCGGGATTCCTCCGTATTCCCTTCAACATTCCTGAGGATTCCTGAGGGATTCCTGAAAGATGATTATAACATGTGCGCGGATTCTTGAGGGGTGTTTACCGTCGCAGACGTGTCATCGGCGTTGCGTCTACGTTTCGTGCGCGTTGGGCCTGCGTTTCGCATGCGTTCCTGAAGCGTCCCGCCAACGTTTCTAACGCATGTCTGCTAAGTGTCGGATGCGCGTCCCATGCGCTTCCTATATGTTTGATACAAGCTTCGTGTACGATTCGTGTAGCTGTGTGTGCACACTGCCGTCGTGGAGTGCTTTGAGACTGTATTCGGGCCTCTTGGAGCACTTAAAGCTCGCACAAAAAAGGCTCAGCGGTACGGTCTAGATCGAAACAACGCACTAAGAACACCGAGCGGGTTCCATCATCAAGGTAGCCATTCGACTTTCATTGCCAATGCGACCATACAATAACAAAACTTTACATAACTTTGTCGGGCTGTTGGAATCTGGACCGCCCCGGTTTTCTCACTAATTGGGATCTGGACAGTCGGGTTAAGAACTGACCCTATCGGGCTCCCTCTCCCCCCCTTCCACTCGCCATCGCTCGGACGTCCATACCCCCGTGCATTTGTCGGCTTCTTGCGTGCAATTGTCTCGCAAGATGACCCCAAATTCTCCTCGATGGTCGTTGCCGAGAAAAAACTAACACGTCCGAGCGATGCCAGGCCTCTCCGCTACCCCCTTTGCACGTCAATTTGCGGGAGATGGGGAAAACTGCCTCTTGCCGAATGTCGCCCCTGGGCCCTCGAGTCGCAGCTGGGGGTGATCTTACTTTTGTTGTTCCGGGGCGCGTGTGATCCTTGACGGGCCTCTGGAGGCCTCCGAGGCCCTGGAGGCCTGCCCGGGGACCCCCTGTGGGGCACTTAGCTGCTCCGATACGCAACACGCAACACGCAACGTGTTGGCACGGAACTCAACATGCAGACTGAAAACGTAGGTCTGGCGCGATACGTTCGCCCAAACGTGGACCAACACGTCCCGAGCCAACACGCATCGTGTTCAAGACGGACGTTCTGAACACTGTCAGTGTTGCATTTCAAAACGGGCGTATGAGGGCAGCTGAGGTGGGGCAGTATCCCGGGCGGGAGCAACACTTGCATCGCCACTCGTCTCCCCCCGTCGGAGCAATGAGAGCAATGATAATGAGTTCCAGGCCGCAACATGCACACAGTAATCGAAGGCAAATGGATCAGATCAGCACCCCTCCTCACGTGGCCAATCTTCCTCGTCCACCTCGTCCAGCTCCAGTCCCTCTTCGTTTACAATCCTGCACATCGAAGTCCTGCTCCATCTGCTCTCTCTCTCTCTCTTGCTGTTGCTGCCGAGGCTGCTTTTCCTCCTCCGCCGCACCCTCGTTCTCCCGCTCCCTCTCTCCCTCCCTCCCCCTCCATCTCCCTCCCCTTCCTTCTCATCTTTCAAGGTTTTTCCTCGCCTTCTTCTTCTCCCTCCTGCTCCCGCTTCCCTGCTGATGCCCCCCTCCTCCTCATCGTGCTGCTGCTGTCTCCTGAGATCTCCAGAGGTCCTCCAAAGACCTGCTCCACTACATACTGTTCCACATCTTCCCACTGTTCCTACTCGCTCTCCTCCTCGCTCCCCTCCTCGCTCCTCCTCCTCCTCCTCCTGCTCCTCCTCCTTCCTCCTCCTCCTCGCCTCCTCCTCCTCCTCCTCCTCCACCTCCACTTCCTCACGCTCACGTTGTCCTGCTCCTCCTCCTCCTCCTTCTCCTCCTCCTCTTCCTCCTCTCCCCCCTCCTCCTCTTTCTGTCTCTCTCCCATACTGGTTCTCTCTGTCCGACCTCTTCCGCATCGCCCTCCTCCTCCGACTCGTCGACAGCTCGCCGGGGCTCCAGAAGCTCGCAGTCGGGCGAGAGGGACAACGCGTACCTGCACACACGCGACGACGACGACGTCGACGGCCACGGCGACGATAACAGCGACTCCGACGGCAGCGAAGGTGATGACGCACCACAGGCCCGAGTGGTCGCGCACGCCAGTGGTGCAGGTAGCCCCGACCACAGGCGCTCTAGAATATAAATTGAAAACAGTGTTGAAAAGCAAGCGAGACAACGAACTTAAGTTGGACTACGTGGGCTTCGCTACCTTTGTCGGCCACATTGTCCAATGGGGCATCAAGTGCGTACTCATGGGAGTGTGCGCTCAGACAGATTTGCTCGCGTACATCTTCAACCTCTGCCACATCGCAGAGGAGCACGGCGGTGTCCGAGTGTGCTATCAGTATGACGTGCTGCAGCGCCGCGCCATGGCTCGTTCTTTGGAGCGGGGCGACGAGAACGCGTCCGACTTCTTCTGCAAGCTGGACGACGACATGGTGCGGAAGGCAGCGGACAAGGTGAGGCAGCGTGGTGAGCAGCTCAGCAAGTTCACTGCGAAGTCTGCTGCGTCTGGCAGCTCCAGCGCCTCTGGCAAGGGCGGCAAAGGCGGCGGCAAGGCGGGATTCCCCAAGGGCGCCGACAAGGGCGAGCCCAAGGGTAACCGGAACACGCTCTCGCCGCAGAGGCCCCCGAAGCGGCAGCGAGACGACGACCATGCGTCTTGGGGCAAATCAGGCCAGAAGCAGCGCTGGAAGAAACATTACAAGAAGTGAACTGGTCACGACAGCTCCGATAACGATGCACCTGGTGAAGACGACAACGAATCGGAGTTGGATGGACGCGTCCCGTTGGAGACCGGCGTTCCCAATTCTGCTGTGCACTCCGCAGAGCGTAAAGATTTCCTTTACGAGTTTTGTGCTGCGGTGCGCGATTCAGATTCTGACAAAACCAAGTGTGCAGCGATGTGTCCAGCTGATCATTTTGAATGGGCGCTCGCGTCGCCACTTGTCGTCCCGGGCGTTTGCTTGCCTGGGATTTTAGAGAATGCGCTTTGCAAAGCTGCCGAGATGTCGCCAGCAGAACTGCATGAACACCGCGCGAGTGCTGTTTCTCCTTGGGAGGAAAGGAAGCGTGTGACGGACCCACTCTGGCGGCGAACGTTCTCCCGTTTGCCCTCGCATTGCCAGAGCGTTTTAGGTCCTGAAACGAATCTTCTCCTGTTGAGGGAGATGCTTGTATCTATCAGCTGCCCACGCGCCGAACTGGTGAATAGCTTAGCTTTCGGTTTCCCGATCGTTGGAGAGTTGCAGCCGAGCGGGGTTCAGCCTGCCAGGGTTGCGAGAGTCCCCCCAGCGACGGTGGAGGAACTCCATCATGATTTAGACGAACGCAACGCCTGCACTTTGAATAGGGTTCGCCGTTCCATAGTGTGTGACCACGAGCTTGCGGAAGCGTTCCGCAACAAATGCTTGCAAGAAGTAGCAGAGCGCTAGGCTCACTGGGTTTCGCTTTCTCGCCAACGCTGTCTTTTAACAGCCCGCTTCCCTGTCGACGACGGTTGGCAGGAACAGAGCGGCCGTAAGCGTCGCAAGGTGCGCTGGATAGATAATTTCAGTGACAACGGTGTGAATAGCGCCACAGCGATCCCCGAGGAGATGCACCATGATTCGCGTGACACTTTAGTCGGCGTCGCGCGGGCGCGTGTAGGTAGTCATCCCGGCGCTACTTTCCTTTTCAAGAAAGATGATTTTAAGTCGGCTTTTATGACGCTTCCGATTCGAAGCGAGCATCTGCAATTTGCCCTTGCATCGTGGGCTGAAGCAGAGCGCAGTGATCGAGGCTTGCAGCTTCTCTCGTGCCCGTTTTGTTCGGCTGTGTCTGTATTCGCGTGGCGTCGCTTTGGCAGTGCTGTCCAGGCGCTGGTGGCTGTCCTCTTTTTGGTCGTTTACCCGCGTTTCGTGGACGACCTTTCGGAAGCGATGTGGCACTGGATTTTGCAAACAGAGGGGCGCATGTAGGACCTAAAGGATCTGCAAATTTGGCGCGAACGCTTGTGGTCGATCTGCTAGGGTGTAGCTCGGACGACGCGAAAGCGGTCGCAGAGGCCGACCAGGCGGTCGTCTTAGAAGTAGTGGCGAAAGCTTGCCCAGACGGCATTTGGTTTTGGATCGGCGATGATAAGAAAGAGAAGTGGCTAGCTCAAATTCGTCAGGCCTTGCGGGCTAATTCGCTGGCCCCTGCAGAAGCGGCCAAGTTGGCCGGGCGTTTAAGCCGGGGGGCCACGGCGGTGTTCGGCAGAGGTGCGAAAGCATTTCTCGCGCCGCTGTTTTGGCGCAGCAAGTGCGGCCGCGCAGTGCTGACGCAGCCGGTGCGCAGTGCACTCCTGTGGTGGGAACGATGTCTGTGCTCAACCCCGTCGGCTTTTCCTAATTTCTGGAAGCCGTGCCTTCAGCGGTGCATCCTGTGCGCGGATGCCACGGGCGGGGGGCAGCTTGTGTTTGTGCTCGTGGCGCCAGCCCGTCGGGCATGGGCAGCGACGGCTGTCCCGGCCGAAGCATGGTCATGGGCGTTGCCTCGGCGCGCGCAGGTCACGCTGTGGGAGCTGAGTTTCGGGCGCTGCTCGAAAGGGCGGCTCTGGCCGCGAGGAAACCCTTCCCAGCTCCAGGCGCAAGCGCCGTGGCTGAATCTCTCCGGAAAGAAGGGGCCGTGGCGCCAGGCGACTTCGGCGGATTAACTGTGGGTGAGGCGCCGGAAATGTGGTCGGCTTCGCAGGCGCTGGGCGCAGCCATCCTTCAATACTTTCTCAAATGTTGTGTTGCAGCGGCTAGCCGGGATCTTGTCCTTCACGGTGCGCCCGGGACGGGCATGCCACATCCCAGAGGAGATCCGCGACCTGCCTTGCGCTCAAAATGCGCGCCCCCTGCGCCGCCAGCCAGCGTCGCTGGCAGTCCGGCCGCTGCCGTCGAGGCTGCAGCGAGCGCTCTGGCCATGATTTCTGAAGCGACGGAAATCCGCAGGCCGCCTGCTGCATTGATTTTGGCAGATGCCATTCGTATTTTGGGCAAGCAGACGGCTGCGCCGCTTCCGGTGGCAGGCGCGCCAAGTGAGGAATTTGCACGGGCGAGAGACAACTCATTTTCTAGCTTTCAGTTCGCGCAGCAAGCCTGCTGGATGAAGTTCCAAGGGTGGCGCAAGAGCGCAGGGGCGTACGCATCAGCTGTGCAAGTGTGGGGCCACGCGGCGGCTCTGACAGCGCAGCCGCCGTGGCCGCCTGCTGAGGCATCGCTGTTGTTTTGCAACACTGTTTTCAAAACGGAGCTTCTCTGTCGAAGTATCTATCGCACTTGCGATCCGCGTTGGCTTGGCTCAAATACGAGGCGGGCGCTCCGGGCGACGCCTCGCGGCTTGTCCACGGCGCAGAGAAGTCCGCGGTGTCCGGCGTTCGCCGTCCGAGGATGCGGGCTTCGGTGCGGGATGCGCGCTTGTTGTATGAATGGGCTGTGGGCGCAGACCGGCGTGGCGTGGCCATGTCGTGGGCTGTTTCTCGTCATTTTACTTTGCGATATATTGCGAGGCCCTGATTATAGGCACAGGGCCGGCGCCTGTGGTGTTCAGGAAAAAGCGTGACACATTTTCGTGTTCGATTACGCACATGAAGCGGCCATTTTACAAAGAGCCTCTGGTAGTTACAAGGCAGTGCATTTGCGAGGTGTTCGGCTCTAGCATGTGCGGCGCGTGCGCCCTCGAGCAATTACAGGCGCACGTGCGTCCGCCATTCAGCCATATCAGGTATTCCGAATCGCTGGCGCTCCTAAAATTAGGAGCAGCCGCTGCAGGTTTGGAATCGCCAGCAGCTTGGGGTACGCATGCTTTCCGGCGGGGCTGGGCCTCGGACGCCATAGCAGCGGGCGGCCCGACAGCTCTATTTTTTTCCGGCGGTTGGCGTGGCCTCACAGCGTTTGGTTACGCGTCAGCGAGAGCCCGTGGGGGGCTCGAGGCTGGCAGTTGGCTGGCGAATTATTCCAACTCGTCAGACAGTGCTTGAAGCTGTTTGTGCAGAGGGCAGTGGTCCCTGTGCAATAAGCCATCGTCGTCATCTGTCTGGCCACACTGGTGCGCGGTCAGGCTGCGCCGCGCCCGCCAGTGGGTGGTGCGCCCGCTCTTGGTAGCATTGGGCTTGGTGGCGTGACCCCCAAGAGCGGCGCAACCACGCAGCAGGGCACCTCTCTGTGGCACTGTTACTGCGGAGGCCGCCGATGATAATTTCTCAGCCCTTAAAGCGTGTGCACTTTTATTGGTGGGAAAATTGACGAAAGGGCTGGAGCTGCCTGGTCGGCGTGCTCACGTCTTGGTTGCCTCCCAAGGGGGGCTGCGGACTGGCCGCCTGGCGCGGCGTGCTGCTGCTGCTGCTGCGGCTGTTGCTGCTGCTGCTGCTCTGTCGTCCGTCGGTCTTGTCCTGTCTGTCGGTCTGTCCGTAGGTCGTGCCTTTGGTGTGTCCTGGGCCTGGCTGCCCTGGCCAGCGGCGGCGCTCTCGGCCAGGCTGCCGTGGCCTCGTTGCCGTCGGCGGCCCCTGTGTGGGCAGGGGGTTCCGTGCACCGCGCAGTCCTGCTGGCCGCAGGTGGCAGTGGGCTGCGTGCGGCTGCGCCCGTGCGGGCCGTTCTCCGCGTTTTTCTTTTCCCCTCCGGCCCTCCCGCCCTCGGTGGGGGTGCGTCTCTCGGTGGTCGCGTGGTTTTACTTGAACGATGAGGCCATGGCAATTCGAACGCCTCTGCGTTGCTGCCTGAGCCTCCAGATAATCCATCATGGCGCTGACCAGTGTCGCCTCCGCTGTGGGGGGCTGCGGCTCCAACGCCGAGCGCCTTTCCTGCGCGCGAAGTGCGAAGGCCACCTGGGCCAACTCAACTTTCCTGGCCCCGAACTGCCCACTATCCCCCCCTGTCGTAGGGGGTCTCCCCCGGCTTGATGAAGGCAGTGATCGAATCCCGCATGAAAGGCTCGGCGAGGTCGAGAGGCGAGGTTGGCCCCGCGGTTTCCGCCGGGAGCCGGCCTACAGACAAGTGCCAGCACAAGTCGTGGGGGGCCTTGGGCGTGGGATCCACGCCGAGCAGGAAAGAACACCACTCCTCTGCCGCGCGCTTGGTGGCGGGGCGGAGCGCCCCGTCAGGCAGCGCCTGCGCGAAAGTGGCAACGTCGGACGGCTCAAAAGCCATCGGTGGATCACAGGCACGTGGAGTGGCAGACGACGAAACACAGCGGAAGCGCGGACAGCCGCGGAGACCGAGACACCGGAGCCACAACGGCGACGGACAATGCACAGGGCGAGGCGCACTCCAATGCACCGCACCTTCCCAATTGAAGGACCAGGCGCGAGAATCTCCCTGCCCGCGGACATCCCAGCGACGCCCGGGAGCGAGGGGCACCCCAAGGCACCAGAACTGTCCATTCGGGCGAGCCGATGCCCGACCTGGTCGGCCACGCGCACGCGCCGAAACCGCGCCGCGCGTCCCACATGCCGTGCCTGAACATCCGAACGGCGCAGCTCAGCTGCAACCCGACGTTCAGGTGCGAACCGCTACGCGCACGCATCAAGGCGACGTGGCGCCCCGCCGCCAAACCACGATGCGCGCAGCAGTGTGCGCGCGGGCGCGCGAGCGGGAAACGCGCCCCAGCGCAGCGCGCCGTTCGGCCAGTGGCAAGCCCACACATGCCACTAGAAACGCCACGGCCCCAGGCCAGGCCGCCCAGGTGCCTGAGTGACCACCGGGCAACTCCGCCCTGGACTCGGCCAGGCCGTCCGGCACAGGCAAGCCAAACAATGCAACTGGGCGCATCTGGCCTGCGGCCGCGCGCAAACCCCAACAGGGCACAAGAACGGAGCCTCCGGGCAGCCATTCCCGCAACACCGCTGGGCCGCCTGGAAGATGGCAAACCCGCTGGGCTCCAGACGCACGCGCACTCGCACGGCCAGCGCGAGCCACGCCGCGCGCCGAAGAACGCCAGGCGAGCCCGCTCGGCCCATGTGGCTTGCAAATGGGATTGCCGCGCGGTCGGCAGCCCGCGCGGGCCCTTAAGAACGCCGCTTGGCCGTCCGCCCACAGGGCGAAAACAACCAGGCCACAAAGCGCGCCGCGGAGCTGCCCGGCCACGGAGCAGCCCATGTGGGCCCAAGGCCGCTGGGCCGCCCAACCGCGGGGCGCGCCTGGGCCACGTGAAAACCCACTGGTCCGCCCGGCCGCAAGGCCAGCACATGCGGGCTACGAGAAACGCGACCAGGCCGTCTGGCCACGGGGCGCGCCCATCCGGGCCACGAGAAACGCCGCTGGGCCGTCCGGCCACAGGGCAAGCCCATCCGGGCTACGAGACACGCCGCTGGGCCGTCCGGCCACGGGGCAAGCCCGTCCAGGACGCGAGGGGCGCCGCTGCGCCGCCCGGCCACGGGGGCCCGCCCATCCGGGCCACGAGGAACGCCACTGGGCCGTCCGGCCACGGGGCAAGCACATCCAGGCTACGAAACGCGCCGCTGGGCCGTCCGGCCACGGGGCAAGCCCATCCGGGCCACAAGAACCGCCCCAGGGCTGCTGGCCCAGGGGGCGAGCCCACCCAGGCAAGCTGGCCACGAAGCGAGCGCGGCAAGGACAGCGCTCCCTGCGCCACGACGCACGGCCTGAGCCAAGAAGGCAACGCGGCGAGGGGGGGCGGCCGCGCGGACAAGCGGCAGCCAGCCTAAGAGAGCAGCACGCGAAAGCACGCGTGGCGACGAGGAGCACCGGCAGCCAATCCAAGCGACCCCCTGCCATGCAGCGCGCTTCTGGAGAGGGGCACCGCCTGGTGCCAGTTAGCGGCGGTGCACTCCTGCGCTGCTCCGGCCTGGTGCCCATCCAGCACCGCCAACCCAATCGACCAACAGGCAGACAGCGACGCGCCAGAGGGGCCCTCGCGGAGCGCCAGCGCGCCAATCAACCAACCAACCAGCAGCAGGGGGGAAGGCAGGACCGCCTGCTGCATTGCAGCGCTTGGCCGTGAGAATCCGCCTGCCGCGGAGCAGCGCAAGGCCGCGGGCCGCCTTCCGCCGCGCCTCAGAGGCGCCCGGGCTGTGCGAGGCCAGAAAGCCCTGGGGGCGTGGAAGCTGAGAGGCCGAAAGACGCCTCCACGCAAATTTTCCTGCCCCCCAAACTTCTTCGCGCGAGTTTGGGGCTATGAAAAAATATAAAAACAAAAAAAAACATGGCGACGAGGAGCGAAAGCCGGCGCCGACGGCGGCCATGGCCACAGCGCGACCCGCGCCAGCGGCTGGCGCCCAGAGGCTAAGACCCCAAACCCCTCTGCGAGGCAGCTGACCAGCAGAGAAGGCGCGCAGCTCCTACTGGAACGCAGGCCGAAACTTGCCACCCCGCCTCGGACCTGGGCGGCAGACGGGGCAGCGGAGCAGCCGAAAGAAACGAATCCCCGAATCTCCGAATGGAGACGGACGCGGCCAGTGAGAATCTTCCCCCCCAGGACTAAGGGTTAGGGATGATGGAATGAGCGGCGCCTGGGCGTCGCGGGGTGACCGGCGACGAGGAAGCGTTCCAGAGCGAATCCTGACGAGGACTCTGGCCAGCCGCCAGGCCAACCATCCGCAAATGTAATGGGTGGCCCTTTTGACGACGGAACGTTCGCGCGAATCGAAAGGGGCTTCGCGCTGCCCGCCAGCTCCGCGCCATCCCGAATGGAATGAGCGGCGCCTGAGCGTTGCAGGGTTGCTGAAAACCTGGAGGTCCGCGCCGCCCGAGCGGCGAAACCATGTGAGGATTCGCGCTGCCCGCCAGCTCCGCGCCATTCCTGAACAGGATGAGCGGCGCCTGAGCGTGGCGGGGTTGCTGGTGCGACAGGGCGCTCTGGCGCGAATGCTGATGATGAGTCTGGCAGCCCGCCGAAACGGACATGCGCGCCGTCCGAGTGGCGAAACCAAATAAGGATTCGCGCTGCCCGCCAGCTCTGCGCCATCCCGAACAGGATGAGCGGGCGCCTGAGCGTCGCAGGGTTGCTGATAGACACGGGGCGTGCTGGCGCGAATCCTGATGAAGAGTCCGGCCACCAAGCCGGGGACCTGCGCCATCCCGAACGGAATGAGCGGCGCCTGAGCGTCGCAAGGTAATAGCGGGGCGCTCTGGCGCGAATAAAGGTGATGAGCCGGCCGCCGAGCCGGGAGACCCGCGCCGCCCGAGAGAAACCATCTGAGGATTCACGCTACCCGCCAGCTCCGCGCCATCCCGAGCAGGACGAGCGGCGCCTGAGCGTCGCGGGGTTGCTGATGCCGACGAGGCGTGCTGGCGCGAATCCTAATGGGGCAGCTGCCAAGCCGGAGATCCGCGCCACCCCGAATGGAATGAGCACCACCTTAGCGTCACAGGGCTGCTGATAATGACAAGGCGCGCTGGCGCGAATCCAGATGGGGGCGACTGCAATCTCCGCGCCATGTTTCATAGAATGAACGGCGGTTGCCGCGGGAGGCTCGTGCGCGGGCGCGAGTCCCGATGGGATTCGCGCTGGCAGCCTGGTCACTAGCTCCGCGCAGGTCCGACAGGCGGCACCTGAACGTCACGGGGTTGCTGGAAGTCTTCCCGTCGATAGGGGACGGGGGCAATGTCGACGGAGGACGCAGATCTCGGCTGCGTGGTGGCGATCAACCCTCAACCGGAAAGGGGCCGCGAGACGCGCGGCACCGCCCCCCCAGGCCTGCGCGCGTAGGGAGGACAAGAATGAGATGGGGTGACCGCGAAAACCATATTTCCCGAATGCGCAGCCTCCCAAGAAATTACGGTACACCCTCGTAAGTTATGCAATGTTCGCGTTTCCGAAGCCATAAACCTGCGCACGTTACGCTACATTTACGAGCCAGAGCCATACACCCTCGTAAATTACGCGCCATTCGCGCATCCGACGCCATAAACCATCGAAGTACAATGCCGAAGTCAACAATTCATAATCTCAATTACTCACAGTCTTCGCGTGCGACGCTGCTTCACGGCGGCGTCAAGGCCTCCTGCTTTCACTCTTGCATTGCCCATTGCCGGGAGAGGGGGCTGGCGGCAGGGGGCGAAGGCCTTACGGATATAGGTGTAATATTGTATACGTTTCTGCCCAACTACGGGTCTCCAGTGACCTTTTGGGACCTCCACGGCGGTGGGAGAAGCGGAGGAGGAGGGGAGGAAAAGGAGTAGGACGAGAAGGGGGATGAGGAGAAGGAGGAGGGCGGAGGAGGAGGACGAAGAGGAAGAGGAGCAGGAGGTCAAGGAGGAGGAGCAGCAGGAAGAGACGGAGAAGGAAGAGCAGGACGAGAAGGCGGTGACGGCGACAGAAAGGACGACAACGACGACGACATCGTCGTCGTCGACGACGGTGGCGGGCGCGCCGGCATGCCCGGCTGCAGGTCGCGGATGGGTCCCTTGCCCTCTCGACGCCCATCTCCTTTTTTGGGGGGGCGCCAGGACACTCTTTGTCTTTGCCGAAAAGGGACGCTATGCGCGAGGACGGGAGGTAACGAAGAGGACAAGGATAAAGGACAGAGGTCTTAGGAGAAATGAAAATGATGATGATGATGCTGATGATGATGATGATGATGATGATTCTAATGATGCTGATGCTGCTGGCAGTGATGATGATGGTGGTGACGATGATGATGCGGATAATGCGTCTGATGATGATTACGATGCCGATAATAGTTATGCTGCTGCTGATGATGATGATTATAATGATGATGACGATGATGGTGATGCTGCTGCTGATGATCATGATGATGGTGCTAGTGATTCTACTGACGATGATGATGATGATGCTGATGATGATGATGATGATGTCGGTGGCGGCTGAGGACGCTCGACGCGTGGCCAAACAGGCCTGCACTTGCCGTGCATAAGAACCCCTAGCCTGGCAGAATCTTCGTAACATGTTGAGAAGGAGTTGTTGCTGTTCCTGCAGATGTAGAAACGTTGTGGATGTTACGGTCGGGGAGCTGCGAGCCAGCTGCTCCTGGCGCCAGGCGCGCGACTTCATACATTGTGTCAGTGTCGAGCTGATATTTTCTAGCTCGCGCATGATCAATTCAACGGCCTGCACGTGTTTGTCTTGCATGAGCGTGGTACACGGATGATTCCTGTCAGAGCTGCTCGTGGAGCTCCACGGTGAGGAGTCGTTGCTGGTGGAGGCGCGATGAGCGCCATGCAGGCCGCGACCTCACGCGTGCCAGAACGCGCCTCGGCGACCACGCGGAAGGCCCAGATCACGAAATCAGCAGAGATGACGTTCCATGCATAAATATATGTATGAGTATGTGTGTTTATATGTATATGTATATGTGTATATATGTGTATATATGTGTATATGTATATATATATATATATAGAAATATAAACGTTGATGATGCCACGGCCGCTGCTGAGCAGCAGCAGCAGCACGACATGTGAAACAACACCCAGTTGAACACCTGGGGGTGAAACCCTCCTCCTCCGCCACCTCCTCCTCGCCCTCGTCCTCCTTGCCTTCTGTCACCTCCTCCTTACCTTCGACCTCCTTGCTTATCCAGCGGACGTTCAACAGGAGATGGAGGCATGGATCCTGAGGAACTTGGTGCTCGCCCCGTGGCGCTGCGAGATCTTCACGGCGCTGTGGAAACTCCACTCGTGGAGCTCAGGGCTAGTACCGGAACGCTGGCAGCTCATCTCGTGGTGCGCGTTCGCACCACAAGGATCGGAATGCATCCCGACGCCCTGAGAGTTTATCTCGTAGGGATCGGACTAGGGCAACACATGGAACGTGGTGATCACCCCGCAGAACTTCGTGTTCACTGTAAGGCCAGACCGTGGAGCTGCGGGATCGTCAGGTGGAATACGCTGCTCATCCAGTGAAATGTGCTTGCGCCGCGGAGCTTTGAGTGCATCTCGGCGTGGTCAGGATGTTCATCCCGTGGAGCGGTGCGCTCACCCCGCGGAGCTAGGAGTTCATCTCGACGTGCTGCGGTCTCGTCACGTGGAGCTGGGAGCCCTCCCGAAGAACTGGGGGCTCACGCGTGGAGCTCTTTCCGAGGACCTCGGGGGTCATCCCGTGGCTATCGAGACGACTCCCGCGGAACTGGACACGGCCCGCTGAGCTTAGAGATCGTCTCGTGGGCCGCGGAAGGACGTGAAGCCGCGGGCGAAGCTCAGCCAGGACACCAGGGCCGCGCACCTGCTCGGCCAGCGACCGCAGCGGCGGCCTGCTGGCACCGCGTATCGCACAGCAGCATCCTCATCATCATTCTCATCCTCATCCTCATCCTCATCCTCATCCTCATCCTCCTCATCCTCCTAATCCTCCTCGTGCTCCTCCTGCTCCTCCTCCTCCTCCTCCTCCTCATCCTCCTCCTCCTCATCATCATCAGCATCATCATTAGCACAAAACTGGCATTGGTCGACGCGGGCGTCGGGAGAAGCGCGGCAAGAATCGATCGAACCATCACGCGCAGCAGCTGGCAGTACACGGTGGCGGCTTGGTGCAGCAGCGCGATGCCCGAGGCGCCGGGCGGGCGGGCCTGCAGCCAAGCAGCCTCGAACCCCAGGGGAGGAGGAGGAGGAGGAGGAGGAGAAGGAGAAGGAGGAAAAGGAGGAGGAGGACGGGGAGGAGGAAGAGGGGCTTGGGGGAGGAAAATAAGACAAGAGGAGGAGGGAGCAGAGGAGGAGGAGGAGGAGGAGGAGGAGGAGGAGGAGCAGGGAGGAGGAGGAGGAAGGGCGGGAGGAACGATTCACTGCTGGCGATGCGTTGGCGAAGAGCAGGCGCTCCTCCTCATGCGTGGGCCATCGAACCGCGGCCCGCGGCCAGGTGTGTCCGCCTGTGTCCGCTGCAGGAGGGCCCAAAGGCCCCGAAGACATCGTGGCGGGCGCGGGGGAGCTGCGCCGCGGGGCGGGAAATCATCATCATCTGATGATGATGCTGATGATGATGATGACGGCGATGATTGTGATGATGATGATGATGATGATGATGATGATGATGATGATAATGATGATGATGATGATGATGATGATGATGATGATGATGATGATGATGATGATGATGATGCTGGTGGTTGTGATGATGATGGTGGTGGTGATGATGCTGCTGCTGATGCTGAGGATTATGGTGCTGTTGGTGATGATCGTGATGTTGATGATCACGATGGTGATGTTGATGATGGTGATGCTGATGATAATGATGATGACGGTAAGGAGAATGATTAGGTTGCTGATGGCAATGATGATGATGCTGATCATGATGATGATACTGACGATGATGCTGATGGTGACGATGACGACAGTGATGATAAGGAAGCTGATGCTGTTCATGATGATTGATGTGATCATGCTGCTGCTGGTAATGCATGTGATGGCGACGACTTTGATGCTGATGATGATGGTGATGCCGATGCTCATGTTGATGATCTGGTGGTGGTGATGATGATGGCGATGGTAGTGGTTATGATGATGTTGTTGTTGGCCCAGCAGTCCGAATTATTCGCCTGCTAAGCTACCTCGAAGCAGTGACGGCCTTCGACGCTGTATCGCCTTGCCGCCACTCTACAAAATCACTCTCGGACCGTCTCCACGCTTTCTTATCCCTGGCCAGCATCGTCCAGCCTAGACCGTGTTCCATCCAGTACTACCGTACGAGTTGATACTCCCACACACTCCATGGGCTAAAGCGGCAGTCCTTGGTTCCGTTCCTCTGGTGCGGATTGCATGGTATGCTGGTATCTGTTCCACAAAAGTACCCGCGATAGTGTAGCATCGGGGTGCGTCACAATTCTCCGAGCGACATCGCCAGCATACCCGATGATGATGATGCTGCTGATGATGATGGTGGTTTTGGTGGTAGTGATGACGCTGGTGATGATGATGGTGGTGATGGTGGTGATGATGCTGGTGTGAGGCTGAGGAGGGGAAGCAGGAGGAGGAGGAGTAGGAGGAGGAGGAGGAGGCGAGGGAGGAAGCGGAGGAGGAGATGGGCGAGAAGGACTCCTCCTGTCCCTCTCTCTCTATTCCTCTTTGTCGCTCCCTCTCTCTCTCGCGCTCTCTCTTTTACTTCGTCCCTCTCTCCTTCTCTTTTTCTCCCTCTCCCAACCTCCGTCCCTCCCTCTCTCCTTCTCTTGTTTTTGTTTTCGCTCCTTCTGTCTCTTTATATATGTCTATGTATGTATATATAAATAGATTCCCCAATCAATGCTTGTACTGACGGGGTCCTAACTCCTAGCGGGTATTGAAAAATTTGGCACACACTTCCCGGCGATTTTGGTAGCCGGCTGAGTTCCTGGATTCCCCGTTAGTGGGTCTGGGCCGATTTCGGTGGGTTCTGGGTTCCTGGGTTCCCCGTCAATCTCCTTATCGACCTCTTTTTCGACCCCACGATCGAACTCACATTCGATCTCATGATCAATCTCACAATTCATCTCACTCAATCGATGTCACCATCGATCTGAGCATCGTTTCCTCTTTTCATCTCACTTAATCGATCTCACCATCGATCTCATCCTCGATTTTACGATCGATCCCACTAGCGATATCACGATCGATTGCACTACGGATCTCACTCAATCGACCTAAATATCGCTCTCACTATCGATCTCACTGTCGACATCGTCCTCGCTATCGATCTAACAATCGATCCGATGATCGGTCTCAAGATCGTATATACTCACTATTGGTCTCACTAATATCACTATCGATCTCACGATTGCTCTCACGATCGATTTTACTATTTAACAACGGAACACCACGGGCTGATTTCGAGCTGCAGTGGATGTCTGATTTTTCGAATATAGTTCGATTGGCCCTCTTCCCGAGCATAGTTCGGGTATGCATTGTAGTCTAGCCTTATTCTTGAATGCTCCTCCCTGAGATATAATATACGCGTCGCTCTCTATAGTTCCTGCTCTGTGCACAAACACTCGCTCTCTCTCTCTCTCTTTTTTTTTTTTTTTGTTTTTTTTGTTTTTTTTTTTAAAAAAACAGTGGATGGTTTGATGGGATCGATTGAGTGAGATGACAATTGAGATCGATAATGAATCGTGGGGTCGATACAAACATCGACAAAAAGATCGACCGGGAACCCGGGATCCCGGAACCCACCCAAATCGGTCCGGAACCATTAACCAGAAACCCGGAACACCGGAACCTGGAACCTGGGAGCCCAGCTGGCTACCAAAATCGGCGGGAACCTTTCGCCAAATCTTTCAATTACACCTGAGAAAACCCAATCAGTGGATGACTTATAAAATAATCATATGGATTTTGAGATCGACTGTGAGATCGATCGTGAATTCGATGAAGAAGACGATTGTAAGGCCGATCGTGAGACCGATCGTGACATCGATTCAGTGATATCGATTCAGTGATATCGATCGCTCGCTCGTGCGATCCCTGATGCGATCGCTTGTGAGATCGATCGTGAGATCGATTGTGAGATCGATGGTGAGATCGATAGAGAGGTGGGTAGTAAGATCGATGGTGAGACCGATCGATCAGAAAATCGGCCAATAACCTGGGAACCTTGGAACCCCACCGCCCACCGAAATCGGCCCTGAACTATCAACGAATCCAGCTGGCCACCGAAATCGGCCAGACACTTTCGCCAAAATCTTTCAATGTCCGCTAGGGCCCCTCCACTGCAAGCACTGATTGGGGAATCGTGAGACATACGGAATGTGTATACATACGTATATATATATGTATGTAGGTATATCTATATACCTTGAGAGATAGAAGGAGTGAGAGAGAGAGAGAAAGGGAAAGAGAGAGAGAGCGAGTGTTTGTGTACGTATCGGTACATGCACAGAGAAGGAACGATAGAGAACGACGCGTAAATCATATCCAAGGGGGGAGCATAAATAACTAGGCTAGACTACACTGCATACCCGAACTAGGCTAGGGCGGGAAGAGGGCCGATCGAGCTATATTCGAAACGTTCAGACGTCCACTGCATCCCGAAATCGGCCCGTGGTGTCCCGTGGTTAAATAGTGAGATCGATCGTGAGAGCAATCGTGAGATCGATAGTGAGATCGTTAGTGAGATAGTGAGTTCCATCGTGAGACCGATCATCGGATCGAGTGAGTGTTCGATCGATAGTGAGGACGATGTCGATATTGAGATCGATAGTGGGACCCGTACTTTGGTCGAGTAGGTGAGATCCGTCGTGCAAGCGATCGTGATATCGGTAATGGGGTCGATTGTACGATAGAGAATGATATCGATGGTGAGATCGATTGACTGAGATGAATAGTGAGATCGATGGTCAGACCGATGGTTAGATCGGCAACGATATCGATTGTGATATCGATTGAGTGAGATGCATAGTGAGATCGATCATGAGATCGATAATAAATTCGACCGTAGGATCGATAAACAAATCGATCAAAAGATCGACTGGGAACCCAAGAACCCGGAACCCACCGAAATCGGCCAACCAATAAACGGGAATCCGGGAACCCGGAAGCGGGAACCCGGGAACCCAGCCGGCGTCCAACATCGGCGGGAAACTTTCGCCAAATCTTTCAATATCCGCGAGGACCCCTTCAGTGCAAGCTCTGATTGGGGGATCGATCCCACTCCTGCGAAAGAGTTTAGAAATCCACTCATTGGAGTTTTCTCTGGTGTAATATGCCTCACTCTCTCTTTCTCTCTTCCTTTCCCTCGCGAGAGCAAGCTGCAACGCACCATGTGCAGAATCAAACGAGGACGGCTTCCGATCAAGCACGTCCCGCGATGCATTGGCATGTCCTGGACCCCGGGGCTCTCGAGGGGATCGCCCCGAGTAGTTGCTTGAGGGTCCAGGGCCGTGCGCGAACGGCGTCGGCTCTAAGGCAAAATCCGATCTCCAGCTCCACGGCGTCGTTGGCGTCACCCGGAAGCAGGAAGCCCCAGCCAAGCATCAGCTCGGAGCTGCGCTTGAAGCCGTAGCTGATGAACACTTCGTCGCCCTCCGCGTAGTCCCTGGCGGCCACGAGCTCGATGGTGCCTCCTGCAGAGCTCTCGCGAACAAGGCAACGCTGGGGAGGAATGTCGGGATCATGGTTGCAGAGGTCGACGTACGGCAGCATGGCCGCGCAGCCTTCAGCGGAGATCGGCGGAGGAAGGCGAGGACGTGGAGGTGAAGGACAACAACGCGGAGGAACGGGACGAGGCGGACGAGGCGGAGGAGGCGGTGGCGCAGGAGGAGGAGGAGGAGGAGGAGGAGGAGGAGGCGAAAGAGGTAGCGAAGGAGGCGGGAAAGTGGCGACGGAGGCATTTGAGAAGGACTAGCAGGAGGAGAAGAACAAGGACGGGGAGAACGCAGAGGCAGCGAAAGAGGTGGGGAAGGACGACGATAAGTAGGAGGACGAGAAGGACGATCTGTGCCAGAAGGACGGGGCGAAGAGGAGGATGATGGGGAATCTGTCCTTCGTCCTCATCCTTCTCGTCCTTTCTCCGCCTTCTCCTCCTCCTTTTTGCGGAGGCCTCCAGAAGTCCTCGGAGGTCTCTGGAGCTCTCTGGAGGGCCATGCACTGTCAACATGCTCAGTAGATTGGTCATCTGCCTCCCCCTCTCCTCCTCCTCCTCCTCCTCCTCCTCCGCCTCCTCCTCCTCCTCTGCTGCTCCTCCTCCTCCTCCTCCTCCTCCTCCTCCTCCTCTGCACTGCACTGCACTGCACTGGTGTGGCCACGCATGTCAATGCCACGCGAGCCTAAACTAACATACAACAGAAACGAACTAAGGAGACTTAGAAATGCTCCGAAGAGTCCGAATCCTCAGCGCTGGTCGGCCCGCTCGCTTTGCGACGCGACGCCTCCAAACGCTGGGCACGGGTCGCCCATGCTTCTGCTATCTCCTGGGTCAGCCCACACCTGGCGAGAAGCTCCAAGCGCCCCCACGAACAACCACCGACCCCAGCCTGGAGCTCGCCGTCTTGGGCCCCCCGAGAGACGAGACTCGGCGCCCTGCGGGAAACCAGACAAGCCAAGTCTTGTCCAGTGGCTTCCGCAGTGGGTCCGATTCTCCACCCCGCGTACTGCGGGGCCCAGCCAGGAAACTGCCCATTCGCCGCCCTGTTCCGCTCCTCCTACTCCTACTCCTCCTCTACTCCTCCGCCCTTCGATTCCTCCCCTCTCCTCCTTCTCTTCCTCTTCCTTCTCCTCCTCCTCCTCCTCCTCCTCCTCCTCCTCCTCCTCCTGGCTCTCCTCTCCTCCATCCGCTTGTTCTACTCCCTCCTCCATCGTCAAATCCACCTCTTCCCTCCTACATCGTCCTGTCCATCGTCGTGTTCTCCATCGTCCTGTCCAACTCCTCCTCCTCCTTCTCCTCCTCCTCCTCCTCCTCCGTGCCTTCTCTGACATCGCCTTGTCCCCTATTGTCCTGTCCTCCTTCCTCCTCATCCTCCTCCTCCTCCTCCTTCTCCCTCCTCCCTCCCACCTCCTACTTCAACTCCTCCCTCCTTTTTTCTCCTCCTCCTCCTCCTTCTCCTCCTCCTTTACGTTTCACAGACATGGATCGGAGATCGTTGCGCTCTGTCCTCCTCCTCCTGCTCCTCCTCTTCCTCCCCTCTTCCATGCCCGAGCGGCAGGAGGAGAGGGCGGCGACAAGGAGGACTGAGGGGAACCGTCGCGGGCGGGAGGCCTTCGGCAGCAAGCAGCGGGAACTTCCCCGCGTCAAGGCCGAACACCCGCGACCGGACGGCCCCGAGGCCCCAGGCGAATGCCTGTCGGGAAGCAAACTCCACGAGGGGCATGAATCTCAGAAATTCGTGACGACCGTCGATGGGGTTATTAGTGTCTGTGCAGTTGTTTCGTCTTCGACTTACATCGTCGAATTTTCGGTTGAGGTCGGAGGTTTCGGAGTGCTCGCCTTCCCTGCCCCCCCAAGCTTGGCTGCCCCGATACGCAGCACGCAACACGTAGCGTGTTGACACGGAGCTCAACACGCAGACTGAACGCATCGGTCTGACGCGATGCGCTCGCCAAAAACGCTGGCCAGCACGCTGAGCCGACACGCAGCGTATGGATGCGGACGCTCTGAGCACGGCACGTGCTGCGTGTCAACGCCGGCGCGTCGAGGCAGCCGCGTCTCGGAGTGCTCGCGTGCCCTGCCCCCCCCAGGCTCTCTGCGGCCGCCTGCCTGGCGCCGAGAGGGCGGGGCGCGTGCCTGGCGCCTCGGAGGTGGGGCAGGGGCGGGGCCCCCGCCTCCCCGAAGGCACGCGCCCCGGACCTGCTCCTCCGGGAGGCGGGGGGGGGGGCGGAGGAGGACGAGAAGCGAGGAGCGGGGAGGAGGGGGGGAGAAGTGGGAGGATCAGCAGGGGAAGGAGGAGGAGGAGGAGGAGGTAGACGAGGGGGAGGAGGAGGAGGGGGGGGAGGAGGAGGAGGAGGGGGGGAGGAGGAGGAGGAGGAGGAGGAGGAGGAGGAGGAGGAGGAGGAGGAGGAGGAGGAGGAAATAAGAGGAGAAATAGGATAAAGAGGAGAAAACAGGAGGAGGAGGAGGAGGTGGAGGAGGAGGAGGCGGAGGAGGAGGAGGAGTAGGAGGAGGCATAAGCATCATCATGATTCTCCTCCTCCTCCTCCTCCTCCTCCTCCTACTCCTACTACTCCGTCGTCGTCGACATCGTCCTCCGCCCCATCCTAGTCCACTTCCTTCCTGCTCCTGCTCTTCCTCCTCTTCCTTCTCGTCGTCGTCGTCGTCGACATCACCATTACTGTCGTCCTCCTACATTTCGCCCCCACCGTCGTCATGGCAAATGGTGCGTTTATTTGTAACCCTCCACCTCCTCCTCCTCGTCCTCCTCCTCCTCCTCCTTCTCGTGGTCTTCCTCGTCGTTCTCCCACTTTTCGTCCTGACCTTGCCCTTCTTGTCCTCCACCTGTCCTCCATTTGTCCTTCCTATCTTTTCTCACCGTTCCTCCGTCTTCTTCCTTCTGTCCTTGTCAGTTGTCCTCCTCTCCCTCCTGGTCCTCGTTCTCGTCCTCGTCATCGTCCTCTTCCTCCCCCTCCTCCTCCTCCTCCTCCTCTTCCTCCTCCTGCTCCTCCTCCTCCTCCTCCTGCCTCTCCTCCTCCTCGTCCTCCTCCTCCTCCTCCTCGCCCGCCTCCCCTGTCCGCCTCATCCCACTTCATCGCTCCCCACCTTGCCATTTTCTCCTCGTCCTCCTCCACTCGCCCCCTTCTTCCTCCTCCTGGTGGTGGGAGGCAGCAGGTATCAAATTTGCGGTGCCCAGGGGCGCTTCGTTAGTTAGGGGCGGCCCTGCAAAACGACAAAGGCTCGCTCTGCGTGTCATCGGCCTCCTCCACCTCGTCCTCCTCTTTCTTCGTTTCCCGATCTCTTCTCCCTCCGCCAATATCCTCCTCCTGATCTGCTCCCTCGGGGGAGGAGGTGGGGAGGAGGAGGCGGAGCTGGAGGCCAGGGCCTCTCGTGTGAGCCCCCAGAGCCACTGTGGCACGAGACACTTCGGCGGGGCACCTGCTGGCAGGCCGGCTTCTTGTGCGACGCGCCTGCTGCGTATGCGCCATCCCGGGGCCCAGGGCGGCCCCGGGAGCCCCGGCGCCCAGGCCCCGGGGCTGGTATTTTTCGCCCCGGATGCATTCTTGATGGTCCCAGGGCCAGGAAGACGGGCCCCGTGGGCGAACAAAAATGCCCCGCTCGAGCAGACAAACGTTGCCGGAGAGTCTGGAGACGTGTGCACCATTCTGGGGCCCGGGGCGGCCCGGGCCTGGAGCGGTGGTCGCAGAGAGGCCTCCCAGATGGGGTCGGGGGATCGCGCCGCATCGGCGATGCATCGGCGACGCATCGGCGACGCCAGCGATGCATCAGCGACGTCGGCGTGGAGAAACTCGGGCTCCACATCGAGGCGCATCGCCGATGCATCGGCGATGCGGCGCGATCCTTCGAACCCGTGATGGCTGTTGTCATGGACTCCTCAACGCGGGCAGTTCAAAATGCGTGCTGCTAGCACGGCCGCCTGTGGGGTCTCAGAGGCAAGTGACTGCGTAGGTGGGGAAGCGCTGCTGCAAACCCTTCTCTCCCGCCAGTGCCAAACTGTGTGCGCAATCGTCTTGCCAGGAACTGAATCTGGACCGATCTTTCCGTGATGCTCGAAGCAGCGTCGGGAGGCCCAGAGGTGACGCACAGGCGCCCCCTGCGGGTCTTGCGGGGCTGGGCGCCTCGGCGTCCACCGCCAGGGCGCGGCCGAAGGTCGCCGACAGCGCGCGGTGCGCCGCCAGCGCCTCCGCGCGCATGCCCCGCGCGCGCGCCGCGTAGTTGCTGCCCTCGAGCTCGTCCAGCTCCTGGCGCCCATGTTCTTTTGCCCAGCCCTCCTGCGTTTGGGCTCTGGTTCTGAATGGAGCGCCGCGGTCTCCACTCCTGCTCCTGCCTCCCCCTGCCTCCCTCCTCCTCGCCCCTCCTGCCTGCCCGCGCCACACTGGAAACGAGGGCGCTTGGGGGCGACCTTGCGCGGGCACCTTGCGCGCCACTGCCAGTGAAGACGAGACCCCGTGGCTCTGCGTCGCTCAAGCGTTCCGTCGATTACCGCGCCAGCATCGCCCTAGCGCCCAAACTCCGCGCCGTGAGTTCTGAACGCGCCCCGCTGTGAGCCAATCTCCACACCGCCGTTGCCGCGCTTTCGGGCCCCAAGCTCTTCGGCGGCCGCTCGGGACGCTCCGGGCCCCCTTCAGGACGCCCTCGGCGAGGCGCAGCTGGTGGAAGGCACCCCGACCGGAGCAAAGCGGCCGAGGAGCGACGGAGACGTCCGAAGCCCTCTCGAACCTCGACGCCCGCCCGCTCCTCCCTCCGCCACCGACGCCGCCCCCCTGACTACCTACCAGACCACCCCAACCGTACCCGAAGACCCGAATTTCGGGTGGGGGGGGGGGGTATGGGTTCCATACGTGTTTTCTCGATGTTCCCCGACCCCCCCCCCCCAACTGGAAATGGATGGCAAATGGAGGCCTTCGGGTTGGGTTGGGGTGGTTTGGTAGGTGGTGCTTCCCCCCTCCCGAGAGCCCGGCGCTGCCCTGTTTTCAGCAGCGGGCGGCCTCGCCCAACGTCGGGCCCCGGGACTTTCGCGGATCGACCCGGCTCGGCAGATGACGCAGAGGGATAGAGGGTCCCGGGCTCTGGCGTCATGGTTGCGTTGTTCCCCATCTCCAAAGAAGGGGTTCTCGTTATTACTTGTACGCCTCCTACTCCTTCTCCCTCTTCTCCTCCCCTCTCCTCCTCATACCCAGACTTACTCATACACAGACTGACTCACACTCAGACTTACTCAGACACAGACTTACTCAGACTTTCGCGACGTCCGATCGCAGGGCCCGCCGCACGCGCTCGACTGGCAGTCGTTGGCGGCGCGCACAGGGGGGTAGGGAGGAGGGGGGAAAGCTTCCTGGAAGGGGGCTGCTTCTCAGAAGGCGCCGGCCGTACATCTGTAGACAAGGCCCGCGCCTCCTGAGAAGCCGGGGTGCTTTCTGAGAAGCCTGCCCCCCTTCCCCCTAACCCCCCTCTGCGTGCGGCCGAGCCAATCGGCCTGCTCCGTCCAGAACAGCGGCGAGCCGAAGGCGGCCGGCACCGCGGCCGCGTAGGCCGCCAGCGCCAGCGGCGCGCCCGCGGCCGACGGGGAGGCGCCTCGCAGCGCCGCCGAGGGCTGCCGAGGGCCGCGGATGCCCAGGGCTCCGATCGATCTCGGCCTCGGCGCCCGGGGGGCGCTTCCCTGAGAAATCTCGGGAGTTCTCGTTGGTTCCTGAGTCCTCAATGGTTCCCGGATGCTCCGGGGAGCTTTCTCGGTTTCGGCGTCCGGGGGCTGGTTCCCTGGAAGATCTCGGGAGATCTCGTCGGTCCCTGGATGCTCCGAGGATCTTCCTCGGTTTCGGCGTCCGGGGCCCGTTCTCCCCCGAAGTTTTCGGGGGTTCTCGTTGGTCCCTGGATGCTGTGACGATCTCCCTCGGGCTGGTCCCCAGAAGTGTTCGGAAGTTCTCGTCGGTCCCTGGATGCTCCGAAAATCTTCTTCTGTTTCGGCGTTGGGGGCCAGTCTTGCGCGGGGTTCCTTCATCCTGGCGTGCCACACTTCATCCCGGCGCGCCACTACTACGCCTTCCCCCACGACTCGCTACACCACGGCCCCCACGACGGACTCCATGCCCCCCCAGCCACACCCCGTGTGGCCGCATGCCCCCAGAGGGAGCCAGTGGGGGTCAGACCCGGGGAAGCGGCCGTACGTCGGGGCCGGTGGCCAGGCCGAAGCTGGCGCCGCCGCCTGCGGCGGGCTCACCCCGAGTGGCCCCATACCCTGAGGAGGGAACCCGCGGCGGGCATACTTGGGAAAACGGCCACAGGGACAGCGGGGGCCACTCCGTGGGGCCCCTCCCAAGAGGGGGGGGGGCTCCAGGGGTCCCTGGGAAGGACCCGGGCCCCCTCCGGAGGGCCCGCCTCTTCATCCCGCGAGCACTGCTTCGACAGTCCTATGGGGGACCCTGTGTCCCGGCCCCCCCCCCCTTGGGGCCGAAATCGGCCAACCGAGCCCTTCTCACTGGCCTTTTCGGGCGGAGGCCCTGGCGCGTCGCGCCGCGCCGTGCTAGCACGCTCCGCTGCCGCCGCCGCCGCCGTGCCTCCGCCCTCGCCGCCGCGGTGCTCCCCTCCCGTGTGAAGGCTCTCTCTGCGCCCCCACACTCGTCCTCGTCCTCCCCGTGTTGCCACCTCACCCTCGCCCTCCTCCTCTCCTCTCCTCTCCTCTCCTTTCCTCTCCTCTCCCCCTCCTCGCCCGCCTCCGCTTCGTCCCCCTCTCCTCCGGTCATTATCATTACTCTTCTTCTCCATATTATCATTATGTTTTTCTGATTCTTTTTTTTTTTCTTTTTTTTCCTCCTCTTCCTTCCTTTCCTCCTCGTCCTCGTCCTCGTCCTCGTCCTCGTCCTCGTCCTGTCCTCGTCCTTCTCCTCGTCCTTTTCCTTTTGCTCCTCCTCCTCCTCCTCCTCCTACTCCTTCCCCTCCTCCTCGTCCGCCCCTCCCCTCCCCTCCTCTCTTCCTCTCCCCTCCCATTTGCCGTATGTTGTCAGGGCGCGAGCAAGTTTGGGCTGGGGGTCGCCGACTGAGGGGGAACGTTTTGGGGAGAGCCGGGATTCGAGGACTCGAGCGGGCAACGACCCGCCCTCCACCCGAAAGGTCCTTGCGGATTTGGGCAACGAATGCGCGCGACGCGAAGGCGAACGCCACATTGTGAAAACCCGCCCTCCATGCGCGAAGGTCTTTTTCTACCGTTGATGACGGAAGTGCGCGGCGCCCAGGCGCGAACTACATTCTAAAAACGACGTCCTCAAACTGTGACGTTCTTGCATACATTTGCAACGAAGGTGCGCGGCGCTGAAGCGAACACTCTATTTTGAGAACGTGCCGCCCTCCATCCGTGAATCCCTGGCGAGCATTTAAAAACGAATGTGCGCGGCGCGAAAGCGAGGGCCACGCTTTTGCGCAAATATTCTGGCTTTAGGACCCCGCACGAGAATCTACTTATGTGGTCCCTCGCTTCCTCCTCGTCGCCTTGGCGGGGCGCGTCCTCCCGCCCCCTGATGCGCCTCGTCTACCTCGTCCTCTTCGCCCTCCGTCTCCTCCTCCCCCTCGTCCTCCCCTGTTTCCTCCTCCTCGTTTTCGTCCTGCTCCTCCTCCTCCTCCTCCTCCTCCTCCTCCTCCTCCTCCTCCTCCTCGCCATCCTCGTCATTGTCCCCGTCTTCTCCTCCTCCTCCTCCTCCTCCTCCTCCTGCTTGTTCCCCCCATGCACCGCCCATGCCTAGTGGCCGGGGCAAGTCGGTGTTCCTCGGCGCCGTCGCCGCCAAGGCCGGCATGGGCGCCTTCTCCGATGGCGGAATCGCGAAGCCGTCGGGGCGGCCCCGCAGGCGAGGCCGTTGGGGCAACCCCGCGAGCCGCTGGGGCGCGGGAGCCAGCCGTTTGGACAACCCCGCAGGTTTCGAGCTAATCGCGGCCGCGCTCAGGCGGGGGGCAGCTTGAAATCCAGCTCTGCCGCGAGCTGGTCCGCCTCAGCCCTGGAGTCCACCGATCTCTTGTCGAACTCCTCGAGCGCCTTCCGCGGGGGCGCTGGCCGCCCGCGCTCCACGAACTCTCGCGCGGGCGGCCGCAATATCAGCATGTTCCGCATGCGAGTGGCGCGGGAAACCATGACGTAGAGGTGCAGCCACCACTGCTCGCCCGACATGCCCGTGCGACAGGCGTCCTCATCCCTGGCGCAGTCGTTGGTGAGTCTGACCCTGCGACAGTGCGGAAGTCAGGTAGGACGCGTGCGTCAGGGTGAGTCCTGAACGGCGCACGACACGCGGCCCCGAGCTCTGCCAGCTGAGCTCCTGCGCGCTGGGCCCGAACATGAGCAAGCTCCTGGTCCGTGCCTCGGCCTCGCCGTCGTCGTCCTCGCCCAAGACATCCACATGCTTCAGGCCTGGTGAGCCCGAACGTGGCCCGAACGGATTCGAATGTGGAGGCGGGGGCCCCATAAGGAGGAATTCCCGCTGGAAGCAGCTTCGTGTTGTACTCATAAACGAGGCTCTCGCTCGAGACTTTTTCAAGATTCAAGCTTGAAGAGGCCAACCGTGACGACGGTTACGGGTTTCTGATGGCCCCGCTCGGATTCGAACGTGGAGGTGCGAGCCCCATGGGGACGGGATCCTGCCTGAGAGTGCCTCGCGAATCATTCACAGACGAAGATCCCGCTCGAGATTTCCCCCGTAGTCAAGCCACAGGAACCCCAAAGTGACGACCCTTCCAGGTGATTCGAACATACGTGCGGGCCCCGCAGGGAGGGAGCTCCCGCTCGAGACATTCTCGTGATTCAGTCACCGAAGAAGCTCCCGCCCAAGACTTCTTCCAAAAACGAAGCCAGCGCTACCCAACAATGACGACAGTTACAAAGTTTCGATGACCCACCTCGGATTCGAACATGGATGTGGGGGGCCCATGGGGAGGGGATTCCCGCTTGAGACTTCCCCGCAACTCACTCACAAACGAGGCTCTCGCTCGAGACATCCGCTAGATTCTGGCCTGGAAAACCAAACAACTAAGGACGCTTAGAAGCTTCGGACGACCGGCCTCGGATTCGAACATGCAGCGCGGGCCTCATAGGGAGGACCTCCCGCTTGAGACTTTCTCGCGGTTCACTCACAGACGAGGCGCCCTTGCGGTAAATGATCATGGTGGGGCGGTAACGGTGGTGACGATGGTAGTGTGCGGTGGTGATGATGGCGACGATGGGGATGATGATGATGGCCGATGGTCATGATGGGGCTCTGACGTGACGATGGGTGAATTAGTGATGAGTGGTTGTGAGCGAGTCGGTGGGGGAGTCGGTGAATGATGATGATGATGATGGTGATGATGATGATGATGATGATGATGATGATGATGATGATGATGATGATGTTGGTCGGTGGTCTTGATGGGATGGTGGTAGTCATGTCGGTGGTGGCGGCTGTTGCTGTTGATGTTGATGTTGGTGATGGTGATTGTGTGATTGGGTGACACATGGTGATGGTAATGGTGATGATTGTGGTGCTTGTGATCGTGCAGGTGATGTGGATGTAGGTGGGTTCCTGCTCCTCTGCGGGGTGTCCAGACAAAACAAGGACCCCACTTAGGGGACAGGGACGAGGATGACAAAGGGGTGGGTCGTGGTTATGCTGGAGAGGAGGAAGGAGGGGGTGACGTGTGAGGTTCCTGCGTGGGGTGTGTGCAGAGAAATGAAACCCAATTCGGATGTCGGGAAAACGACCCTTCACTGGTGACGCTCTTCCGAACTTGCACAACGAATGTGCGCGGCACTAAAGCGATAACCCCATTCTGAAAACGTACCGCCCTCCATCCGTGAAGCTCTTGCCCACTTTCAACACGAATGTGCGCGGCGCGAAAGCGACAACCACATTTTGAAAACTACCCGTCCTCCATTTTGAAAGCGACCCGCCGTCCATCAGTGAAACTGTTGCACATTTCCCAGCTTCAGGATCATAGATCGCAAAGACGTTGCTAGCGAAACGCCTGGTAACCCCTACGGACGAGTCTCGGGGTGCGACAGGGAGGAAATACATTTTTCACGGGGACGCAAGGATGGATAAGGGAGGATCATGGGCGAGACGACGGGGGATGGAGAAGGGATGGCCGGGGGCGGCCAATAGAAGGGGCTCGCAACTCATGGCCCGAGGCATGTGCGGCCAACATTAGGTCGGGCATGTCTGCCTACTTGCGAATTTGTCCAAACATTGTCCAAACATGCCCCTACATTATCCTGGCGAAGGACCGAACCATATGAAGTTGTGAATACCGCAATTGTGAATATTTTCTTCGGTGGAGCTCCCTATGGGGCCGCGAAGGGCTGCAATGGGTGGGGGGAACGCATGCGGGCGGCGGTAGCACTGGGACCTTCGGTGGAGCTCCATATGGGGCCACGAAGCGCTGTACCGGGTGGGGAGGGACGCATGCGGACGGAGACACTGGGATTTTCGGTGGAGCTCCACGAGGGGAGACGGAGCGCTGTACTGGGGGGGGGGGAGCGCATGCGGGCGGTAGCACTGGGGCCGTCGGTGGAGCTCCCTATGGGGCCACAAAGCGCTGTACTAGGTGGGAGGGGGGGGGACGCATGCAGGCAGCAGCACT